GAAATTAAAAGAAGAGGAAACAAGGGAAGGAGACAAGAGAGGGAAGGAGGAGGAGTAATTGATCTGGTTGTCCTCATTTTTCCTCCTCGGTCTATTTTTAGATTCTATTTTTAGCTTCTCTCTTTTTTTTACATTACCATTCTTAGATAACACTGCTGATGTCATCACAAAGCCCTATCCTCTACAGGTGCATGATGGGACAGAGTTGTGGTGGTTTCAGCTGATTGATATTTTGTAGCAGAGTAAAGTAGGTCACATTAGTCAGAGGCGTTGAATCAGGACAGACCTGGTGGCTGCGCTCTGACGCACTTTTTCACCGTTTTATCCTCCACAGGCTGAAGTCAGACGCAGCAGATGAGACTGAGCGCAGACCTGTTTCAACACCTGCAGCCAGAGGAGTCTCAACACCTGCTCCGTCTGAGTGTCTCTGCTGACTTCTCCCTTTGTTGCTCCTGCTTTTCCAGTCTCCTCCTCCCTGCCATTACAGCCCATTAACACTCATTCACACTGTACACTAATGACGGTATGTGTGTATGTGTGTGTGTGCGTTTTTGTATTTTAATGTGTATCAGCCCAGAAAATACACCTTTTAATTAGTTGTGAAAAAACGTAGGTTAAACACAACAACACCATCTTCATCACCATCGTCACCACCTTCTCACATGCCTGTTGTCCTTATCATCACTTTCTTCATCATCACAGTTAGCATCATCATCTTCATAACAAACACCATTACTATGACTGCTCCTCTTATGAATATTATCACCATATAAGTCTATAACTGAAGATTATTCCCATTGATATAATATCAGCCGTCCGATGTTATCGGCCCAATATTAGCATATTATGTAATATCTGTAAGAATCGTTATTGGTTTTTTCTCCAATAATGAAAACCCGATAACGCAATGCCTGGGTTTATCCAAATGTTGCGCCGCGCTCTAAAAATAGCTTTGGGGATAAACGGCTGTACATTACAGTGAAAGTCACTAGATGGCAGGATTGCAGCTCATTTAATTAATCTCATACTCATACAGTGGTTTGTACAGATAATATATAAATATTACCAGGCCTATATTGGTTGATATCGGAATCGGAAATTAAGGGTTTGGCCAATATCGGCAAAAAGTTGATATTGGACATCCCTAATCATCATCATCATCTCCACCAAAATCAGTTCCCATTTTTTTGTAAATGTAAAAAAAATTTTTGTAATGTAAAACAAATGCGCAGATGTTGAATCCACCCCCTTCCTGTATTGTGTTCTACTGTTTCCTGTGTGACACACAGAGACACTCTGATGTAATCTGTAATCTGCAAGATTACAGATAATCTGAGTGTGACATCAGAATGATGGGCTACAGGAAACGCCATATCCAGGCAGACAGGAAGCAGAAACATTGCAGTTTTGGACATCGCATACGTCAGAGCCTGAAGATAGTCGTCGAGAGCTGTACAATTGTAGAGAGACCCTAACCCTGACCCTCATCACTCCTAAATCATCATCCATTTGTGTAAGTGATAATCAGTGTTACAGACAGACAACAGAGCTGTAAACATGACAGTAACAACACATTTGTCACCACAGCAGCCGGTGGTGGCTTCATGTTTCAGAAAACAGTGTCGACCAACTACTCCAGGCTTTGAATGTTTTTAAGTTCAGTACATGTGACCCCTACTCATTCATCTGGAGTCCAAACCCTGGCACATCAGTTTGTGTTTTTTTTAATAGTGTAACCTGGAAAAGTGGTGTTGAGTGGTTGGGGACATTTTAGAAGATATAGTGTAAAAATCTTAGGAAAATATGAGCTGTGATATACAGTAGAACAAAAACATTGTTTCCTACTAAGTTTTGGAAGATGGAAGTGAACCTGTGTTTGGGACATCAGATCATAACACGATTGTAAGCAACTGAACTCTAAAATAGCATGAAAGACCTCTTTCATGTCCGTGTCCATGCTGTCTTTGAGTGGACAACTCAATCGTATCAAACTCAGCTTTTTGTAAATCATTTTCTGTGACGAGCTGACAAATTATGAGTGAAAATGGATCACTGGAACTGTGTTGGCTGCTGTGGACTATAATGGTTCTACAGATAAGTGGACTGTGGTGTAGAACCGTCCATGGCCCATCACGGCAACATGTACTGGACTGCATCAAATGTGTTTTGAAAAGTGCATGCATGAGTCTGAATCTGTGAATCCCTCACAAGGTCAAGTGCTGACTTTCGAGCACTTTTCTTGTTTACATCCGTAAATAAAGTGAAACGTCCACGGTTTGTTGACCCTTTGTAAAAAATAATACATTTATTAATAAATAAATAAATGTCCTTACCATACACGCCCTGCCCGTGCATGCCCCGCAGGAAGCCGATGAGGAGGCACAGGAAACCTAACACTGAGCCCATCTTCACATCCTCCTAAGGCCGAAGCTTAACCGCCTCTACCGCTGCTGCTGCTGCTGCTGATGATGATGCTGATGATGCCCCTCCACCTATGACCGCTTCTCACCCACTGACAGTCCTGACACGCAGCCCTGCGCCGCCCCCAGCCCCCGCAAACCCTGCTCAGAACTAACGAGAAGGTCCGGTTCGGTCCTTCGTCATCTGAGAGCGGCGGGAGCAGCACAGGATCCACCGCCTCAGCTTCGTCTCCTTGATGATGACATTGTAAAAAAAACAGATAAAAAGAAAAAAAACGCCGGTGCGTCACTTTCCTTCCTCCACTGGGAGTACGCTCACGAGTTCCATCCGCCCTCCACCGAGATCCAGTTCAACTGTTTGGTACCGCAGTCACATTCGTCCACCCGGGGGTAAACGACACCTCCTCCGCGTCTCTGCTGAGCATCAGCGGCTCTTCGCGGCCCATCAGTCCGGGGGAGGAGAAAAGGGAGGCGGCAAAGCACCGCTCTGAGCTCCGGCCAAGACCGAGAAAAAGACCGGACCGATCCAATTCAACTGCAAACCACAGCGCGGAGGACGTTCAGACATCCGCTTTGAGAATTTCAAAATAAAACCCACCATAGAAAAAGTAACCACACTTAAGGTTTTAAATATATATATAAAATACATAACAAACCCTGTATTGTCTCGCGTTTAGTCCTCGTCCAATTAGCTACTGACATTGACGTTTGTACACACAATAGACATGTTAACAACTGATAAAAAAGGCAAAAATATTAAAACGTCCTACCGTCACCTTCGTTTCTAGGCTTTTAGTCTAGCGGGTGTCCCGTTGTACTTCCGGCAGTGTGACTCACCGCAGCTGATGTGGTTTGAAGAGGAATCGGCTGTTAAAACATCACGAACACAAATAAATACATTTGATGGTCGGCAAAAAGGTGTTTATGTTTTTCTTGTTTTTTATTTTTTTATTTTTTTATTTTTCTTTACGTCGAATTAATAGTGCAGGAGTTGAAGGAGTAGTTGTTGAAGTAGAAGAAACAAAAGGTGGTGAAAAAGCTGCTCCACGTTCACCATCTGTTGATGATTAATCAGTGTGAGTCTTTCAAGGCCCACAGCGTAAGGTAAAATGGTTGGGTTTTATTTATTTTGAATAAAAGAACCAAAATAATTGGATTAATATGTGTTAACACTCACACAAGGAACCCAAGGGTGATACTTGAGGATTTTAAATGACCATCAGTGGTAGGTTTTCTCTACGAAGGCCGCCATGTTGGATTGCCATTTTTCACAAAAGCCCAAACTGGATAAACCAACATAATTTGTGCTTCATTGTTTAATAGTGATATGTAACCATACAATATGGAATAACAAGGGTTAACGTGACTCACGAGACATCCTTTTCAATATTGCTCAACTTTTTTATTCACTTTTTTCAGAAACACAACATTGAACACCAACATTTGAACAACAGCAGAACTGAATTCTGAGTGAAATACTGAAGTTTTGGTTTGAAAGCACAAACATGATAATGACATCACCAGAAAACGGACACGGTACCTAATCATGACACTGAAGTGCGGCACAAAACATTTTTATCCCGTGTCGGGCAAGGAGTGCGGCCTGACCAGGGCCCAGTTGCAGCTGGTTGAGATCCACAGTGCTTTCTGCAGGAAGAAAGCTGCTGTTGGTGCTCATCACAACTGCAGCCTGTGGGGGCAGCATTGTGTCACGCAGCTGCAACACTACATCTTCATCCGCCCAGTTTAAGGCTGCCACAAAACGGGTGTTCTGGTCCCAGACACGCATGTATGCAAGGGAGGAGCTGGAGTTGAAAAGGAGGACAAAGTCTCCAATCAACAGAGAGCGCTGTTTACCCCGCAAATCACTCAGGCTGCGGAAGAAACTGCGAGTGGAAAGCTCCGCCTTCTCCTCCTGAACAGAGTCAAAGCATCAATTAACATTCATCAGCTGTACTGTCATATCTTTATGATGTGTGTTTGTGTGATGTGTTGCTGAAAAAAAAAACTAGGAAAAGATAATTGATACTAGGTTTTAAAGTAAGTTGTTGTTAGCAGAAAAAATGTCCTGTCACTTTACAGTGACAAGAAAAACCAGGTCATTTGATTGTATGTTTCCTGAAAGGTGATTGGAGGTTTATTCAGAATGTAGGTTGAAAGTAGAAAGTTAAACAAGACAAGAAAATGGTCAAAATTGGTAAAAAAAAAAAAAACCTCACAAATGAGAAACAGAAACCAGTAACATAATGCAGATGTTATCAACTGTCACCATGTTAGAGAGAATTTATTTTGTTTCTAAAGACAACCATGTTTTCAGTCAGCATTGTTAAACATCACTGGGATAAATTTAATCAAAAAACTTATATCAACACAAATACTAATAAATGTTGTAATTTACCTGCAGAGTTTGATTTTGATCTTTGTCCGAGTCCCACAGCATACTGGGAAAGTTGGTATCCTTCAGTAAAGGCATTAAAAAGTTAAGTATTAGGAAGATATTATGATAGTGGGTATGATGTTGCTAGCTAGCCTTTGGTAATAAGGTCATTTTAGCTCATGTTCAGTAACATGAGCTCATTCTTCTGGTAGTACGAGCTATTCATTTGTTCTTGGCTGCTACATTAGCTAACACGTTGTCATTATAACCCAAGGTAAGTAACTAGCCAACATTTGGTAAATTAAACTAATTTTAGCTATGATTAGCTGTTCAAGTAAATGTCTGAAAGCTCATTTAAGCTAATGTTTGGTGTTTGTGTTCAGGTAGTTAATAGATTAGCTGTTGTTTTAAGTATATTTTAGCTAGCATAAGCTCAGCGTTTGGCTACCCAAAGCCTTAATTGCCAAACAATGGGCAAATTAGGTAAAATTAAAAAAAACATTTGAAAAACAATCACTAATTTTTAGTGACTTCAACTACTCTCAGCTAAGACTCATTACACCAGACTCCACCTTACCGTGTCCATCAGGCCGATTTCGTCTCCATAGTTAAAGAAAGGCGTCCCTGGCAGCGTTAGCAGCAGTAGATGGTGCAGTTTCACCAGAGCCGGCCCCACCAGGGATGCCAGGTGACCCTGACTTCGCCCACTCAAGCTCCAGCACAGCCTGCTCTGATTGTGGTCAGAATACAATTGCTGGATGGACTGAGCGCGTGCCGTGGCGTCTGGGGAAAGGAGGACCTTGGAGATCAGAAGGTCAACACCAGTGGAGGAGAGGAGTGAGGTCACATCCTCAGGTGAGGAGCGTTCACTGACGCCGATCAGGACTCTGGAGACACAAACATCCATTCATTTTTTGTTTAGGAGACGTTGTTTTGTCAGTAGGACACAGTTCCAAACCTTTTATTGGGATGCTCCTGTGTCTCGTTCTGGACGATGGCACGGATGTCACTCCACAGAGATGGAACCACAGTGGACACGCGCTCCACCCCATCCAGCTGGACACCATCCACGCCTTCATTCAGCCAGAACACCAGAGCTGGCTGGTGCAGACAGAGCAGTAAGACCAACAACAATATTTTTACACTGGTTTTAAAACAGGGCTGTAAAAATGACAACAAACGGATCCAGATTAAAATTGGTTCTCAAACTAAAGCTGTTTTCCCTACCGAGTTTTTCCACTTTTCCATTTTACATGCATCTAATCATATATTATTAACAGAAATCTACTTTGTTTCTGGTTTCTTTGTTGCTTATTTTTGGCAACTCCAAGGTGGAACAGACCCGGAATAGTTACAGGTTCTGTGTTCAGCTGTTGTCCCTGTTGTTGTTGTGTGTTCTATTTCTATAAATGCTCCTTCTATTAATCTTGTTTTTTTTTAAACCTCTATCTGCAGACACACTTGTAGACTTAATTTATAGCTGCTTTCTTTGTCTCGCCAGTTGACTGTCCCAGTGTGTTGTAGAGCGTCTACATCAGTCTGTGATACCAGTATGTGTAGATTGTATGTCGACTCCCACCTTCAGTCTCTCAGCCACACTGGTCACACTGATGTTGGAGAACCAAGGTCCAGTTGATCCCAGATAGTTGGGAGTCAAGTCCAGAACCACTGAAATACCTGTCAGGAACATGTTATCCACGTTTAACTTGCTATGACTTCACATTTTTATATTTTGATGTTTCAATCAACTTGACGTCAGGACGAACCCCTCACCTAATTTGTGCGCAGCCTGCAGGAAACTCCTGAATTGCTGCAGGGTTCCCACATCCGGAGACACTTCCTCAAAGATCAGGCTCGTTGGATCGTTGGGCAGAGCCACGTGGAGTGGGCCAATCACCAGGCCTCGGACCTTCAGTTGGGAGAGGTAGTCCAACTTCTGCTCCACACCTAAGAATCAAACACAGACCAGACATGAGTGAACTGGATTGGTCTCTGAAAACCTACAGAACCTATATGGTTGTTACATTTTTCTTTCTGTATTTGCTAATCACCTAGTGATACATGTAAAGTCCAATAGATATCCAGAGAAATTCTTCAGTTTCTTATGGTCCAGTGCCAGTTGTTATAAACAACCCAAACTTTTCTGACTCAGGAGAAAACCTGCTTGGCTTCACACTTTCACTTCTGCCAAATGTTAGCAGACCTATGATAAGCACTGTGACCCACACACTACATTAGTCATATGTTGTGTGTTGTCATCACACTATGTGGGCATCACATTTCTCACCCTTTAGGTTCTGCTCATTGGAAAAGGCCTGAATGTTTCCTATCTGGTAGAGCGGACCGTCATTCCACCAGTTGGTGGCGGGCAGTTCCCGACAGCGTGGTGCCTGCAGGATGATGAGAACGGACCCTGCCAGCATCCCAAACCAGCCGAGCCAGAAGAGGATGAGCAGCGTCCAACGGATCCTCACCCAGCTGAAGAGTGGGAGGAAAAAAACAACAACGCCGTCACAAGTTTTCACCGTTACTACTGTTAGTTATATTACACACTCTCTTCAGCTGCTAGTGGCAGCGACTGAAGTGGCCATTGTGTTCACAATACTTTTGAATATCTGTAGTATAATAGTTTTGCCAAGTGTCCAATAAATGTTGGGTAGACAACAAAACTGATAGCTTTTGCTATAGACTATAGACTATATTTTGGCAACTACCTCAAAATACTAAGTCATTTTTATAATTCTCTTATATGTCCCTGTGTCCCATTATCTATATCACATGTGTCAAACTCAAGGCCCGGAGCCCAAATGTGGCCTGTCAAGTGATTTTGTATGGCCCACATTTAATAAGGCCGATGAGTTTCCTAACTTCATAAATTAAGTTTTTTATCACACACAATAAACAATATTGCCTAATAATAATAATAATTGTTATTATTATTAAAATAACAACAACAACAATGATGTGGCCCCCAGTGATAACCAGTTTGACATCCCTGATCTATGACATTTTGTTGTCTTTTAGGTAGTGCCTGGCTTCATCTACTGAGATCAACGCTCGTGCCCTCACATCCTTACATGTCTATGCACTAGTGTCCTAACGTCTAGTGTCCAGTCTCCTCACCGTGGTGTCCCAGCCACCCTCAGTAGCTCATCTTTGTTCAATCCAGTGAATGCGGCCTCCCTTTCCTCCTCTTCCTCCTCATCCTCGGGCATCTTCAGCTTTACGGCGCCGTTCTTCTCCCCCGACGTGTCTCCATTGTCCAAGGGACGTTCTTCCTCAGGACCCCCTGTTCCATCCCCTGTTCCATCCCCTGCTCCATCCCCTGCTCCATCCCCTGCTCCATCCCCTGCTCCATCCCCTGCTCCATCCCCTGCTCCATCCCCTGCTCCATCCCCTGCTCCATCCCCTGCTCCATCCCCTGCTCCATCCCCTGCTCCATCCCCTGCTCCATCCCCTGCTCCATCCCCTGCTCCTCCTGCTCCGGTCATAGGTATCTTTTCCTCCTCCTCAAGATTCAGGTTCTCCTCTGTGGTATCAGCCGCATCCTGTGGAGGAGCAGGCTCCTTCAGTGCCGAATCCCCGCTGCTGAGCGCGTCCACGTTGGTCTCCTCCGTGCTCATGTCCACGGGTGATTTTATTCCCAGGAGAATTATCTTTAGTAAAGCAACCTGGAGTAGAATGACCTGCTGTGAGATGATCCGCGACTGTTCTAAATCTCAGTCAGAGTGAAGGTGGATTTCTGCAGCGCTGCTGAAATGAGGCGGTGGTCACTGCAGCGATGCAGATGCGCTGCGTTCACGAATGTCGGAAATATCACCATCTCTAGTGTTTTCTCTCAAAAACAATCTTTGCTGTTATGTAAGTTATATCAAATATATCATATTATTTTCTTGTGAATTTATTCTTGGTATTATTGTATTGTATTTATTTGTTTTTTACTTTTCTTCTCCAAAAACCTAACAGGTCACAATGACAGGCAATACACGGCCTCTTTGGAGAAGGCATCCCCTAATCGCTGTAGGCAAACGACCACAATGTGATGCAAGGTGCAAGGTTGTGTAAGGTGGGAATATATATTTTAAACATGTGGTTTATGTGCAGGATTTGAGGGTAGTTGCAGTGTTGTTTTTGTAGTGTCACATTGCTACACATACACGGCTGTAGTACTACAGTACTATAGTACCCAGAGCAGGACAGTGTCCAACTGATAGACGAAGAAAGGTAATCTACATGCTGTCTTTACAAACACCAAATTGTTGTATATACTCTACCTCTAAACATTTATGAAAAAGTTGATACACCTCTGTAAAATCTTGATATTGTGGCCTGTATAAAATAAAAGAAAATCCACATATTTCACCATCTCATGCAAAGAAAAAAAAAATGATATCAGGGCAAAATTGTCTCTAAGAAGGAGGTGTAAACTTACATAACAAATACTCATTACTAAGGTTGAATTCTTAAGATGCCATGACCATTGCCTTTAATGTACTGTCCTTTTATCCCCTTGTATCTTTTTTGTCCCCCTTAATTTAGTTGTTTTCACTGTTGTTTCCTTGATCTTAATTTTCTGTTTAATGTTAATTCAACTTTTAAAATATATTATTACAAAGGCTAGGATATATTGCTTTTTCTTCTGCTGTGCAATTGTCTCTTAGAATGTCTAGTAATTTAGCATTTTTATACTTAAATATTTCTATGATATTTTGCACTATTACTGTATTATTTCTTTTACTTATAAGAGCTTGTTTTTATTGTAGTATTTTCACCCCTGTCCTTTTGTTGCTGCTACACAACAATTTCCCCAATAATAATCAATCTATTCTCATCTAAAGAACTCTAGTTTCAGATGAATATAAACGTTCGAAGTTTTTTAAACCTAGTTTTATAATTGAACAGGTAATAATGATAGTTGTGTAATAATAATATGGTTGCACTCATTGTTATTCGTCGTTATTGTTAATATTTTAATTTAACTGCAGAATTGTGTTGCTTGTAACGCATTCCATTGCTGCCGCCTGGCGGTCAGGAAGGTCACATACACCTTTTTTGAACAGATCCCACCCAATCCTTCACTGAAGAACTAAAATAAAGTTGTTCATTATGACGTTGTGAGCTTAATGCTATTGTTATGAATGCATTTAATATAAATTGTACGCAACGACCGTAAAACTATAGATAAAAAAAGGATTTTATTTTATTCGTTAAAGGTCTGGCCAAATTTATCAGCGCTGACAGTAGCACCAGATATCGTTCGCTTTGGTCTGAAATGAACTCAAGAAGAAAGCTCTATAAAGTAAGATACATCCAATAAATAAAACAAGGGAGTTTTTTCTGAACCAGGGCCTAATATTTTCAATTGTATATAAAACTGTCGTTAAAAAGTTTCCTGACAAAAACGATCTTAAGGTCGTCTTGGAGTTATCGTACAAGTACGTGATTCTGAGTTTGGCACGTTTTGTCACTCATTGACGAGTTAACTTTCAAAGTATTCATGTAATTCCAAAGCAGGATTTGTGTAAAGATATTATTTTAATAGTTATTAAAAGTTATCTGACGGCAATTTGAACCAACATCGAGTTTTAAGCTCCACCTTAAAATTCAGGTCCCTTCTTCTTACTAGCACCAGAGACTGAACCAGGAGTCTGAAGCGTTGTAGCCTTAGCTACGGTCACAAAATAGCGCAGAAGGAGGCATAGAAAACCTCCAAAGTCCCACAATGAACTTCCAGGAGGCTTCCACAGAAGTGAGGCAGCTACTGAACAAAGTGAACCCAGCTGAGCTGCCGAAGCTATTGGACTGGATCAGAAACTCGGGTAAGCACGAGTCTGGAAACAACATGTAGCAGCCCGCGCCGTCATCTCAATGACGTCACAGACCAAAACGAAAACTCCTCCCATTGTTGCGACTGTACGGTGTCACATGATTTATTTAATATTTTACAATTGTAAAATCCATAATATGTCACGTGCTAGATTTTTTAAAATTAGATGCAGCAAAGTAAAGGATTAAAAATAGTTCACATTAATACGATACTTATTATTATCTAATAAATTAAAAGATTTTGTTTTGTTGTATTTAATTTTATTTTGCGTTTATCATCTTTTTAGAAATATAAACTGTACGTCAACGTAATATAAAATGTATCACGGGCTGAGTATTTCTAGAGAGTTTATACTGAGAATTTGTCTCAGCCAATTATGAACCCGAGAAAGAGACAAAATTTGACAGATAGCAAATTTGAAACTTTACAGAGAAATATTCACTTTCAGAAAGAGGTACAGGGCACTCAGAAGAATGAAAAAATCAAATGTGTGTATGTGTTTTGTCCTGTAGATGAACTGGACGAGTTGCTGCTTGACAACAGGAAGGTGATGCTGCGCAGTATCGCAGAGGACCTGAGGACATGTCTTCCTCTGGATGCTATTTTTCCTACAGAAGTTGCAGCTCACCAAAAGGTGTCACACTAACACTGCGACGTTAGCATTTCTTGTAAAAACAAAAACAAACTTGGTTGTTTTATAAAAAGTACCTTTGTTTTTCTATTTGATCCAGATGCAGATGTGTGCTCAACCAACGGTTCATGTGGATGCTTTTCTGTACGATGACCAACATGTGGACGCTCTGTGCGAAGAGGGAGCCATGAGTCGCAACTATTGCCTTAACTGTGGTTCTCACAAGACCACCCCCCTGGGTGAGGTCATGAATTCATCTATGCTGCTTATAGACCTTCCTCCTTGTAATCAGGATCCTTTCTTTCAACAAAAATAAATGACCCTGTGACCCAGCACTCCAGCAAATTCATCGACTGTCATCTACAAAGTTGACCATGACAGAAACTGTTCCACTAACACCTGACATCCACCTTCATTAGCCGTAGATTTAGCAGTACTAAAAGTTTGAGAGGCGACTGCACAATCCTATGAGAGCGGCCTCTGTTGGAGGCAGCCATGATAGGTTTAAATGTAAATTTCACTTCAGGAAGATGCTGGTTTCCTAAGTTGAATCCATATCCTGCAACCATCACAAAAAACAGAAATCACGGCAGATGCGGTTATTTAAACGCCATCTTACCTTATCTTTTGTTGCATTACTTCCACTACTGGCTGTGTTGGGTTATGCTTCAACATCGTGGTTACAATCTACAATCAAGTCCATGTCCTTCTTGTCTGCAGATTTCATCTCTCACTCATTTTCTATACCGGAGCTTCAGTTCCTGTTCCAGAATGTTTTACCAGACCTGAGTGGACGCACATTGCTGGATGTTGGCTCTAGGCTGGGGGCTGTACTTTACGGGGTCAGACGTTGTCACGCAAACACATTTAAATCCTGTACATTGTTAACTTTATAGTTTTGTAGCTGATACTCATGACTGTGTGGTGTTCAGGGTTACGTGTACAGCTCAGCGTCCCAGCTGCTCGGTGTCGAGCTGAGTGAAGACTTTGTCAGACTCCAGAAAAAAATAGTGGAAAAATACAGACTTAACGACAGAGTCCAGGTAACCGGTGGGTTAATGATGGTGTTGACACACAGCAGTCACAGTGGTGAATTATTCTCACAAGTCCATTTTGTTCTGTACATTTTTCAGGTTCTCCAGGCTGACATCTGCACTCAGGATGTTCTGCTGCAGAGTGTCGACATCCTAATTATGAACAATGTCTTTGAGTTCTTCATGGAACCCATTAAGCAAGTCAGGTAACCTACCATTATTGATGTAGTGGAGATGATTGACGCTGCAAATAACAGGCCCATAGAGAACATCAGTGATTTAATATAAGAAAATATTTAGCATATGTCTGACTATGGGCCTTGACATTCCACTGTCTGCTGACTCCTTGCTGAGAACTACTGACATAAACACATTGCACAAGACAACATTTGAACAGCAGGTTGTTTGTTTCCTTCTATGTTTTTAAATTGCTCGTTTTCTCTGTGGACTTTGGTGTAGATGTTTGCTGTATTTGCAATATTTGGAAGCCATGTTTAATGGTGAGCTACAGGAAAGTATGAAATATACATTCATCAATTTTTTACATTTACATTTTTGTGAAACAGAGCGTGGGAGTTCATCATTCAGAACTTCAGAAAGTCTGGTTCCCTGTTAGTGACTGTTCCCAGTCTTCAAGAGAGCCTAGATGCACTGCAGGTCTGTATCTTTTTTTTGTTTATTTTTGTTATTTAAATGAACATGTACTAATGTCAGCAAACTGTGTTCAACAGGAGGCACTGCCCACTGGCTGGGTGGAGGAACTGCCTGTGGATTATGATGTGTATGTGGACAAAGATGCAGACCCTGATGCCCTCAGACTGATCCACTTGTATAGAGTCTTATAAGATATTATATAACATGTCAGCAGAAGAGGCTGAAGGTTGAAGGTCACAGTGCAGCAAAAATGCAGCTGGTATTTCACCATACATTGTGACTGGAGAGACCAACAGGTCAAGGCTCCCTGAAGGACAAGTCCACCTGCACAGAGACATTGGACGGACAGTTTTACTTCACAGATGAATTATTTTTGTGGTATTTGAAGGCCATCATAGCCTCATGCTGCCATGGTTGAAAATTGAACAGTGATCAGAGGGCACATTTTTTACAGATCAGTTTGGTCTCAGAAAGAATAAACAGCTCAGAATCAAATGAAAGAAAACCAGCATGTTTGTTTTGATAGTGATGTCTGCAATTTTTAATGATCAAAAGGTAAACAGCTACAGTTTACAGTTGACAAATTATTCATTCGTTTTGTGAAGTAACTAGGCAGTTTACTACCACATTTTTTTTAATGATTGGTCTCTAAAAAACGTGGTTAATACTAAACATCTTGGTCAAGATTTGTATTCATTTTGTCTTGACATTTGGGTCGGTCATTACCGACGACGATCTAAGGAAATTATTGTTTTATTTTGACCTTAACCCACCGCAAATTAGCGGTTCTGTATTAGTGTTGCGTGTGTGTGCGCGCGCGCGCGGACGTGTGTTAGGTAATCCAGATTAGCCAATGGTTAGAGGGGGCGAGAGTGACGACACATCCAGCGAAAAACTGACTTTGTAGAAAAGAAGCTCCGCCTATTTACTCGCCCGGCATGGTGTGTTCAGGCACTCACAACAGTATGTCACACGTGTGTATAACAGAGTTTTGTTACAAAAACAAAAACTTTGTGTATATTTTTATATGATAATATAAATTTGAATTGTTTTGAAAAACAAAAACCATTAACCTCTGGTTATGTAAACCAGAGCTTGACTTTTTGTTTTAACTGAGCGTAGATAATATCTGGTATGGCAGTTTACTTAATGTAGGATAAATTCAAATTAAACAGTACTGTAAAAGCGCTTGGGAAGTAGGACAGGCACGTAAAGTACGGACTAAAAGACATCAAAGGAGGAAAAAAGGCTGCCTTTAATCCATGGCAACAGCATGTTTACTTTAATGACATCACTGTTCAAAGCAACCGGAGTAACGCATCGCATTTCGAAACAGTAAATATACTGTTTCGAACAGTTACAGCGGTTAAAGTCAAGTAAATTATAGAATAATAATACATTTGTGCAACAGTTGTTAACGCCTACATTCGAAATACTTTCTCATATTTACACCGGGAAAAGACGTTTCTCGACTCTTCGCCCACTTTCCAAGGTAACGTCTTTTGTCAAAATTAATGTACTATTAATGTCATCTCATGTCGTTGTATAACAAGGGGCTTCGTTGATTTTGAGGGGGTCAATGTGCTTTCATTTCCATGAAAATTAATATGAATATCTTTGGTTTGTGGCCAAAGAGAAAATACAGATGATTAACATGTATAATATGCGTTATTCACTGTTAAAAACTCGGCCTTCTAAATTTTTCGTTATTCACTGTTAAAAACTCGGCCTTATAATTTATAATGCTAATAATTATATTATGCTAATTAAAAACCCAACGTTTGTACGTTTTTATTAATTCTCCACTCCCCCGGCTGAGGTCTCATCCTCCGTAATTCAGGAATAGTTGATTTACACATTTTTTGACAAATGTATATAAATGTTGTATATTATTTTGACAGGGAAATTTAATAATAGAAAAAATAAGTATGTCGGTATTTAAATCTTTACGGTGTAAACCTAGCAACATGTGGGTGAAGTCTGTATTGTAGCTGGATATCTAATTGTCTTCAACAACAACATTCACATTCAATCATCTCGTGACACAGGTTAATAATTTATTTAATTTATGTTATGATCATAAATGTTTCATTTATGATCATAACAATCTTTTACTCGGATAAGAGACAGAACCATGCTTAATTGTTTAAAATCGTCGTTCTGTGTTCATTAAGTGCCGCGAGTCCGTTAGATACTCAAAATTCCGAGCTTTGTTTGGTTCCATGAAGTCGATGAAAACTTGGTCAACAAGCCCGAGCTTCAGTCCCAGCTTGCCGAGTTTTTAGCTTCTCGTTCTTTGCATTTACTTTGTTTTTGAAGCCGCTTATGTGAAATTTGTACCGGAGAAAGTCACTTCTTCGGTACGGGGACCTATCAGTCAGTGTTGAAGTAACCTTGGCCGCTGGACGTTGACTACCGGCCTGTGGGATCTATGTTTCCGGGCACGTTTCACATGTGCGCGGCGGATTAACGAAACAAAAGAGTGGCTGCTTCTCCCGCCTCCTGCTCGGTGTCTTTGCTCTTGGGAGTCCGCTTATCCCCACCCAGAACGACTATTTTGTTTGTTGAAGGACTTTGTGACCGATTTTGACCATTTGTTTCCCGCTCTTTCACGTTTTTTCCCCACCCCTGCTTCTCTGACCCCATTCATCTGCTGAGCGAAGATGCCGCTTCTCCACAGAAAAGCCTTCGTCCGACAGAAACCGCCGGAGGACCTGCGGCCCGAAGAGGAGGTTTTTCTCTGTAAAATTACCCACGAGATCTTCAGGACTTATGAGTAAGTGACACAAACAGATGGGAGCGGGCCAGGAATGAGTCACATGAGGCCACGGAGAAGTCTAACTGCCTTATACAAAGAAAAACTTCCACACTATGAAAATATTTAAATAATAAACTTTCTACTGTAGTCGAAGTCCGAAGTTTTGAGTGTCAGTGAACATCACACACTTTAACCTCTTAGGTGAAAACACCTGGTGACGTCACAGTCAGGCTCCGGGCATCATGATGTATATCGTCCAGTTGTGCTACCTGTTTTAGCAAACAGCGCTAACAGCGGGTGGCAGTTAAGGTGGATTAGATGCTGTTTGAGCTTTGTTAGCTTTTGTTAGCCGTAAGCTCCATAACTGGGTCGATGTTCACCTGCTCGGGTGTATTGAAAATACACACACACACACACATGTATATATACATATATGTATAAACTTTTGACAACTTTTAAATACCGATTCTCAATGTTTTTTAAACACCGTTGAAACCTGTTGTATGTGTTATATATGCAATGCACAACATATGTAAATACATGGTTGGTGCATGTAATGTACGGTCTATGTGTGTATATATAGATCAAATTTACGTAACGGAAGATTGACGGTTCACATTGACCAGATCAGTGAACTGGAGAAGTACGTTAACTAAGTGTTCTTTCTTTTTACCACTTTCCTCTTTTTCTATGTCTTATTCTACTTTTTTCTCCTCATTATTCCCTCTTCTATCCATCCTTCCATGTGGTCCATCTTTTCATTCATTTTCCCTTTTTTTTTTTTTACCTAAATTCTCTCTACATTGCTTCTGTACTCCCATCCTTACTCATTCTCCTGCTCTCTCTTCCCTCACTGGTGCTCCTCAGTGAGTTTTTTGAGCGGACTATTCTGTGTAACAGCCTGGTGTGGAGCTGTGCTCTGACAGGGCGAGCAGGTCTGACGTACCTGGAGGCAGTTGAGAGTGAGCGTCGGGCCCAGCAAAACCTGCAGAATTTCCCATCAGCTTTGGTGGTTCCCCTACTCCAACTGGTTGCAGCCAGCAGCCATTGCAGGTTAACAGAGCTCTGTGAGGACATCTACTGCTACGTCAAAGAGCGCTTCTTTGTAGGAGAGACAGTGGACATTGTAGAACACAATGGGACCAGGTACAGATTCTGTAAATGCAACAGTACTTTTTCTGTTCAAAGAATCAGTTGATGACATTTGTAAAGTTCTAAATGTTCCACAAGAAAACAGACCTCAGTTTAAACCAACTGATATTTGTAGTTTTTCTGTTATGCATTTTTTGACTGCTTGTGATACTGATAACAGTACGTATTTAACTTCAATTGATTTGAGGTTTCTAGTGATGTTTACATCTTAGTTTCCTTCCATGTTCCTGTCTGAGTCAGAACTTGATCAAACTTGATACATGAGTCAGTATGAAATGGAACCTTTCAGACAGTAGCTGATGGGGTTTACTTGACGGTCGGTTATCTGTGGTTTCCATATGACGGTGCTTAGTTTCAAACAGGAAGTGATGACAGTAATATCAAGTACTGTGGTGTCACACTGTGCCGTAAGACAGAAAAACATCATCTGGTCAACTTCAACAGACGTGACCGATTTATTGTGTGTGATATAGACACACGTGTGAGATCCTCCAGGTGGATTCCCCTCACTCCAGTGCTATTGGTCTGCGGCCCACTAATGGCCCAGGAAGACAGATAGAAGGAGACGCCATCATCATCAGTGACAGCGATGATGACAACAGCAGCAGTGCCATGAAGAGTCCTACAGCTCAGGTCAACGGGTCAGTAGTGCAGTGTTAGTTTAACCACAAAGTGAAAAGGCTTCTGAAAACCTGAAGTGTTGATCACCTGACTCTGTCTTCATGTGTCTGTAGCAAGAAGAAGAAGCTTTTAAGTCCCTCTGTGTTTAAATACAAAGTGAGGATGATAAAAGATGAAGATGGAACCCCCTTCATAGTCAAAGCCATTCAGATCAGGTGAGAAATCTTTCCTCAGTCTCACCAAGAACATCCTTGCAGCCTGAGAATAGAATTCTTAAATTGAACCTACTCTGGCATTAGAAGGCAGTCCCTCAGCTGAAGCTGTGGTAAACATGGGTTTTGTTTATTCAAGATGTGTTTGTTGTGTTTCAGTCGCCGGAAGTCGACTCTGTCCAGGGAGAGACTGAAGCTGTTCCTCAAACATCACTGTGAGCCGAAGAATGGGACCATCATTGTCAAGGTGACAGGGCCCACACACATCACTGTAACTTTATGTCTCAGCAATTACAACAAAAAAGAAAACGTTTTAATATTTGCTATAGTAAATTGACATGGGAATTACTGGTCCAATGATGCCCCCTCTGGACAATCTATGTCACTGAGGGAAATCTGAACAAAGAATTCTAAACAAAGTTGATAAATGACTTTAACTTGATGGATTCAGCAGAACACTGACCCTTTAGTGCTATAGTTTAAAATCTTTTTTATTTTAAGAGAGTTAGCAGAAAGTAATTGTGATGCCTCTGTGTCATAGTCATCCACCGTGACGAAGTACCACCTCTCAGAACACACCTTCTCCAACGTGTTCCCTGATGAACCCCCCAACTTTCCCTTCCGCTCACCCTCAAAAGGTGAGAGGCGGAGCTCATCTGGACAGGTGGGTGTCAGCAGTAGGAGTTGCACGAATTCAGAGTTTTCTAGTTACCACTTGTATAATGAAAGTTGAGTCGATGTTGCTGATGACGTCTTTGATATTTTGAAAAATCAAAGGATGCGGGAATGTTTCGCCATAATCAGTAACTACTTAATCTGTGGTGGAAATAATGTTTCCTTTCACTTAGTGTTGCAGAAAAGTTGTTGAAAAGTCCTGTTCAACCCTGGCCTTTTCCACTTTACTGGTTCTTCCTCATCCTCATTCATAATGTTAATAACTCTGTTTTTTTTTTGGGGGGGGGGGTTTCTTCAGGGAAGTTCGGCAGCAGTGGAGAGGCTGAGGCTGCAGCAGCAGAGGGAGGAGATGGATCGTGCAAGACTGAAGAAGGAGAAGGAGGACTTGCAGGAGGCCAAGAGGAGGGAGAAGGAAGACAAAGAGAGGATGAAGGAGGAGCAAAGGAAGAGGTTTGAAGAGGAGAAGCAGAAGAGGAAAGAGGAAAAAGAGCGACAAAAGCTGGAGAAGGAGAAGGTGAGTGAATTTGTTTTAAGAACTTTGGATCTATCATTGTCAAATAAAACAGAAGCTAACAGTCAAGTGTGGATGCAACCTGATAGGAGCGAGAGAAGCTCAAGGAGGAGAAGAAGAAATATGCTGAACGTCTGAAGCTGTGGAACAAACCCAGAGATGACATGGAGTGTGAAGATCTGAAGGTCAGTGATTTAATCACAGTGGCTTTAAAGACCTCTCCACACTCTTCTCAGACACAGTTAAAACCTGAGAAGAATTATTTCTCAACCAGGAATACCACAAACACTTTTTGCTTTGGTGAATTTCAGTTCATACTGTACAGAGACAGGTTTTCTTTTTAAATATTGTTTGTCCTCTATCAACAATCATTCCATCTGTTGTGCTGTTTCTTCTTCCAGGATCTTCCAAGTCCAGTTCCTGTCACAACCCGTCTTCCTGCAGAACTCTTTGGAGATGCACTAATGGTTCTGGAATTCCTGAGAGCTTTTGGTGAAGTTTTTGATTTAAAAGATGAGTTTCCTGATGGAGTGTCCCTAGGTCAGAGCCTCGTTTCCTCATCTTTAATTCTTCCTAGTTTCTGGTTCTGCCTTTGTTCTAATAGAGGCTGCCTCTCTCCTTTCATCTCAACAGAAGTTCTAGAAGAAGCCTTGGTAGGTTCTGATCCAGAAGGTCCTCTGTGTGAGCTGCTTTTCTTCTTCCTGTCAGCCATTTTTCAGGCTCTGGATGAAGAACAGGAGGAGGTGACCAAGGACCAGGCAGAAGGTTGGAAACACACACTTTGTGTTCATTTTAATTGCACACACTGGAGTGCTTTGGTTTTAGATGTTGCTCAGTATAGTGTAGACCAATGTCTGTGTATTAATAAATTGCATAAATTCTACCATGTATTATAGCAAAATTGCTAAATTTGTGACATGTGCTTATATTAGTTAAATTGTTAAATGCATTTGTATGTTTTTGTCCAGACCTGACTGAGGCCCTGGATGATGACTCTGATGTCACCCGCTCTGCTATGAGCGCAGTTGCGTCCTTAGCGGCGGCATGGCCTCAGCTTCATCAGGGCTGCAGTCTGAAGCGGCTGGACCTGGACAGCTGCACGCTCACGGAGATCCTTCGCCTCCACATCTTGGCTTGTGGTGCCAACGCCAAGTTCCGTTTCCAGAAACAAGGCGGCTTTACATTGATGGACGATCCTTGTGTTGAACTGCGACTTACTGAGCCGACGCTGCTCAAGAGGCTGTCGTGCACAGCAGTTTACGACTTGACGTCAGGTCAGCAATCTATAGACTAATCATTAATATCAATAATCAATACAAAGTCATTGATTCTGATTGAATATCTGTGTTCAATTATTGTCCAGGTATTAAACAGTTTTGCGTCTTTCAGGAGAGAAGTTGAGGATCCTGCAGACTCTAGTGGGGAAGCTGCTGATGTTGGCGTCCAGCAGAGATTTGATCGAGGACTGCGTGGAAGAGCAGAGAGCTGCGCGTCAGGAAGTGAGAGAGATCAGAGCGGAGCAACACCGAAGAGAGAGGGAAGAGGCAGCGCACAGGTAACACACACACACACACACGTGACACTGCTGAAGTAAATACTACTTCTGTTTGGCTTTTTCCTGCTTGTAGACGTTGTTTAAAATGTCAGAGGGGCCACTTGGTGGAAGCATTGTTATTGCTTGTAACAAGGTGGTCAGTAGTTTGATCTTTAGTGTTGACTGATGGTCGTTCTGAATTCACGTTTTCTACCCCTGTATGTGAGTTTTCAGTTCCAAATTTTTCCCTCTTCAAAACTTCTGCTACATTTTTTCTTGTGCTCTAGGGTTCGACTACGTAAGGAGGAGAAGCTGAGAGAGCAGGAGCAAAGGATGAAGGAGAAGGAGGAGAAGCTGAAGGCAGGACTTCTTACAAACAAGTCAGTCTGAGTGGTTCAGTTTCATTATATGCTTTTGTTTTGTTTGTTTTTGTTTTATATAATGCCCAGTGTGGAGTAACTGCTTGTTGTTTCTTATTTGTTCTTCACACCTGCAGTAACACTACTGTACAACAACAAAACACAGAAGACGACGACGAACAAAACTCCACATCACCTAATTACCCAAAGATGACACCAACCAAAGGTAAAACTAGGAAAACTTGCATTGGTTAGCTCATTTCTGTTGGGTTGTAATCCCACTTTCTTTTTGTTTGTTTTTTCTTTTTTTGCAGAAAAAGCCACACTACCTCCAACCTCTGATACCAAACCCCTGCCCTCTGTTCCATCCAGCCTGACATCAGAAGAGCTGGAAAAAGAACAGGAAAGGGTCAGTAATGATTGGTTCCTGGGTGATGGTCTACAAAAAAGTCCTGGATTTGAGTATTTTTTTATAGGTCGATTTAAGACAGAAGTCTGAAACAATGGCTGCACTATTGACATGAACAGACAGTACAGAACTGCACAGTAATACCACTATCGCCCCCTGCAGGTTAGAGAACTGCAGGAGCGTATCCAGAAGGCTGCAGCTCGCACCTGTCTGTTGCCCCTGGGCAGAGACAGACTGTATCGCCGTTACTGGCTCCTCCCTTCCACACCTGCTCTGTTTGTAGAGGAAGACTCTTTTGGCCTGACAGAAGACATGCTGAAGCCCCGCCCACAACCAGCAGAGGACACCATGTATAAGATGGAGGACGATGAGGTTATAAAAGGGGAGCCAGCTGAGGGAAGGTTTGTCAGAGTTTTCTTTATGAAGTTTTTTACTTGTATCAGCATTATGACGACATCACTTCCTGTTGTGTAGTGCCGGCTCCCACCCTGCCCCTGTCTTCGCCTGTGGTTCGCCACTGAACCGGCCCAACCAGTGGTCTTTCTACGGCTCCATGGAGGAAGTAGATCAGCTTATCGATGCTCTTAACCCTCGAGGTCATAGAGAGAGCAGCCTGAAGGAGGCGCTGTTGCAGGAGAGAGAGCGTCTGATGCAGCTGCTACTCAAATGTGACAGGAACAAATACACTCACTCAGGTAACACTCTCGCTAGCAAACGCTTAAGATACAAACGGGATCTAAGCTAAAGCTAGCGACACATACAACCATAAAGAAGCTTTCCTCTAGCACGTAACTACATCTGACCGTCATGTTTTTGCAGATGACCCAGAATCATCCCGGTCCGTCCCAGAATGCACTTCTTTAGCTGAGACTTTGATGGAGGTCAGACTGAGAGACCTGCTGCTGGACATTGAGGATCGTATCCACCAGGGAACTCTGGGAACGTTGAAGGTATGTAATGACCTCACGCTCACGAGTGACCTCCACTCACCAGTTAGCTGATCTTTCACTTGCATTTGATGACCTCATTGACAGGTGATGGACAGACAAGTGTGGCGTTCAGCAATGGAGGCTGGAAAATATGAGCTGCTGTGTTGCGATGTCACAGAGAACAATGTGGACGCCATGGATGTGGAGCCAAGTCAGCAGAGAGGCAGAGACAGGTGAACACAAAAACAAGGGACCAATGTATAAATGCACTCCTGATGCTGGTGAAGGATTTAACCCTGGTTTCTGTGTCTGTGGTGCAATAGACTCCAAGAGCTTAAGTCAGATGTGACATCACGATCATGCGGGACCAGCGGCAGTACGACGCCTCATGTGATCAACAACTCTGTACAGAGCCTGGCTCAGGCCCTCACTTATATTGAGCAAGGCATAGAAAGGCGCTTCCTAAAGGCTCCACTAGGTAGTCAACCCGAGCTGTATGTATTAGTAGAAATTCACTTCTGAGTCACTAAGTCAGTTTACCACTTACTTCTGCCTGTCATACTTGCAGGTGAGGAAGACTCAAAGAAAGACCAGAAGACAAAGAAGAACAAAAAGAAGGATGAGGATGAGGCCAGTGAAGGTCAGCATTGGTCATATTCATCATTGATCAACTTTGTATCAAGTGATTGATCTGCCTTTTGGATTGATTTATCAATTTACCATCTCTCAGACGGCAGTGAAAGTGGCCGAGTGACAAAAACAGTGTTAGAGATAGTCTTCTTACTTCCGCCACACTCTCTCACATGTGTGTGTGTGTGTGTGTGTGTGTGTGTGTGTGTGGGGATGAGGGACGTTGTGTGAGTCTACAGTATGTAAATGTTGTTTTGTGTGTGCTGTGACAACACACTGTTACATGTGTCTCTCACCAGGTGTTTGTCCACTTGTCCACTCTGGAGCGAAGCATCATCTGGTCTCGATCAGTCCTCAACGCTCGCTGTCGTATATGCAGGCGTAAAGGCGATGCAGACAACATGCTGCTATGTGACGGCTGTGACAGAGGACACCACACCCACTGTCTAAGGCCCCGTCTGAAGGTAAAGTACCCTAACCCCACATATCACATGACCCTCACATCTGTAATCTTTTTGAACTTTCATTCAACAAAGCAGGTTAAGGTGAAGCATTTGAGCTTCTGCCAGTGAGTTTTGCTGCTGGTACAGAGAGAGAACTAATGGTTACCTGTAAAAATGGCATCAAGTGCCATTTGATTTTTTTTTTTTTTTCGGTTGTCCCGGGAAGTGGGAAATGTTTAATGGATGCCAAACCGATTAGGTTTAGGTGACCATAGTTTTAGATGTGTCTCAAAGCAAATGCCCCAAAATTAAAATATTTCTATGTTAGGTGTTGAGTCTTAATCTGTGGTGAGACACTGACCAAAATTAACTGGGACTGTACTTTTTGTCTTAGTTTGTTCCAGAGGGAGACTGGTTCTGTCCAGACTGCCGACCAAAACAGAGATCGAGTCGTGTTCCATCGCGCCACCGATCATCTTTGGATGAAGATGAGGAAGAGGAGGAAAAGGTGTCTGATGAAGGAGGCAACGAAGAGTCGGAGGAGGAAGAAACGGAGTCTGAGGAGGAAGAAGAGGAGATGGATGAGGAGTCAGAGGAGGAAGCCCCAATGAGGTTACTGTTAACATTTTCAATGTCATTCAATTTAGAATTTAATTTCCATTAATTTCCAATTAATCCTGAATCTTTGCAGCTCTAAGAAGGGCCAGGCTCCGCCCTCTAAAGGCAGGAACCAACAGAGCACGCCCAAGAATAACAACACTGCTACAGCAGGGAGGAACTCTGCATCAAAGTAAGTACAAGTAAGTGATAGGTTTGACACTGTAAACTAAGACATGAATGACACCCTGCCTTTTTATCATCGTAGGTCTTCAGGGAAAAAGGCCACCCCCCCTCAGTCAAAGTCCAGTGCAGCAGCCGGCAACAAAGTGCCAACCCGCCCTGGGAACCGCAGCAGTGCTCGTCTGAGCCAAGAGGTTCTGGCACCAAGTGTCAGCAAGAAAAATTCACCTACTGTGAGTGGGAGCCGCAAGAGGCCGGCAGCAGGTGATAATTTCAAAATCTCTAAGACTCTTAGCAAACTTCTTTTGTCAGACACAGAAAATGAGCTGATGTGGTTTAAGGCCACTTGAAGGTATTCTGGCTAACTATTAGTAAGGATCTGGATAAAGTAGCCATCTACTGAAGTTATCTATGCAGATATGGAGCATGGCTAGGCTACTGTTTTGTTTTCTTTTCCATTTTTGGTTATTCAGTTTCATATTCATTGGCAACTTTTTATCAGTTGCCTAGCTTTTGAATGTTTCTGACCTCTATCCTCTGGCTCCTCCCACAGACACTGCTCCACCCCTCAAAATCTCACGGCCAGTGCTCACCCCCGCCTCCAGCTCACCTTCTTTTTCCTCCAGGCGTTCATCAGGGAGAAACTATGGCGTCCACGAACTGTCGGCTTGTGAACAGCTGACTGTGGAGCTAGTCCGACACGAGGACAGCTGGCCTTTCAAGAAGCTAGTCTCCAAAACTCAGGTATGTGCATGCACAAATGGACGCATACACACACCCATCACACTCATGTACAGACTTCAAAATGTGTGTTACTTTGCTGTTCACTGTTCCTCAGGTTCCAGACTACTATGACATCATCAAGCAGCCGATTGCCCTCAGCACTATTAGAGAGCGAGTCAACAACTGTGAATACAAGTCAGCAGGTAAGAGATGATGGTGAAACACACCTAAATGAAAAACTTTCAATGTACTGAAGTTTAAAAGCTTTTTAAAGGTTTGGTTACTTTAACCTAAACATAGCGGTTCCTTTCTCTTTCTGTCAGGTGATTTTATCTCAGATGTGGAGCTGATGTTTGCAAACTGCCTGCAATACAACGCCCGCCACACCAACGAAGCCAAGGCGGGAAACCGTTTGCAGAAGTTCTTCCAATCTGAGCTCAGTAGGCTTGGCCTATCAGAGCCAAACATCAGCCCTGCTTCTAAACGCACTCGACTCAGTAACTAAACCTGCTGCATTTGAATTGAACCAGAGCGCACAGTTTGATGGGCTGAGAGACACGGGAGGATTGGTGGCAGTGGGTGATGTTGTCATCCACTGACCACAGCTGTAGCAGCTCCTTTGTTTTTTTTCCCCTTCACTTTAAGTGAACAAATTATTTTCATTAATAGAAAGTCATGAATTCATTTTTTCTGTGAGTCTCAGGAGTTTATTGATAGATGTTTAGAAATGTCGAACATTTGACCTGTGGAGTTGTAGCCCTTGTGTTTTTCAGTTACCGTTTTGTTTAGATGTGTGTGAGTGAGAGAATGAGAGAGAAAGAGGCAGAGTTAGGCTGTCAATCTACACTGGAGCCACTGCTGCAGCAGCGCCCCCTGCTTGTATTTATTTAGTAGCCGTATTTGCGTTGACTTTATTTATGATTAATTGGCACTCTGTCACTTGTTTTCTTGTGATAATGTAAAAATAAAAATGTTTTATGATGCTACTTTTGTGTAGTTCCTCTTTCACCATCACACACTCATCCAGTAATTTCAAATTAAAGACATTTTAAAGAAAACTGATTGCCAACACCGAAATGTCCAGAAAAATGTTTGAAAATTTTCCAAAAAGTAACTCACGATCAAATGATACTTGTCAAACATTGCTTCTGAAATATCTCCAAAAATATTCTCATACATTCTCATCTGTATAAAGGAATTCTTCTTTGGGTCTTGCAAGTGAGGAAAGTTTTCTTTGAGGGCTTTGGATTAATATTTTAGCAATTAAGTGATTTTTTTTTATTTTTAAATATCACTTTACTGTTTTGTTACATTTTATTTTAAAAATGTTCTTTAGATATTTTCTTTTTATTTAAATTTATTGATTTAACCAATTAATGACACCATTCAGACTTTGTAATCCAAAAGTTAAGTGTAAATAATTTATTTTTTTCATTTATTTGCTCACATGGCTGCTGTCGTTTGGGTTGCTTCAAGCGTTTGATTTATCTCTTTTGGCTAATTTTTCATGACTTTATTGCTTACCTACAATTTAAAATGGTGTTCTAAAAATTATTTTGCTTTCAAAGAGTAGAAAAGTGTCGGAGAGGTATTTAGTTCAAAGAAAATTCTGTTTTAGGCGTGCGCGCTCCCGCGTACACACTTTATTCTTAGGGATTGATTCCGTTACCGTGACACCTGTCGTGTCCGCGCTGTCAGTGACGTAGCCGTCTGAATCCCCGCCCGCCTTCTCACTCCCCGCTACCTTTCACCCCCGATACAAACCCCGATTTGACGGCGTCGCAGCGCAGACAAAACCCGGGACAACATGGTAAGAACCGGCCTGGGAGCGGAGATTTAAGTGTTTAGCAGGAGCTGAAGAGAGCGGCAGTAGAATTAACGCTCTCAGATCCATAGACGGTTCGCTCTCCGTCTGTTATAGGACCGTTAATATACTCCGATGGTAGCGTTACGTTAACAAGCATGGCGGCCGCTCTCCGGCCTCGGCTCCTGTACCGTTACTCGGTGTTCCTGATTTTTAATTAAGCAACGTGTCCATCTGGAATGTTTCATTCTATCAAATACGAGTTATTTTCGTTTTATTTTGTATTTTTCATTTGGTTTTCAATTGATTAACGGTCCGTCTCCTGGCTGGGCCAGGCCCGGCCTACCCGCAGGCCGTGAGTCTCGGGGCCGCCATCTTATTCTGGCTGCGGTGCTGCAGTACTGAGCAGCAGCTGCTTTTGGAACCAGACCGAACCCGGGCGGTGACTCAGTCCGTATAGATTTAACCGTTAAACAAGAGCTGGTTGTATTGTGGGTGGAGCCGGTTGAGCTGCTGTGTTCGGTATAATTTGGTCATGTCCAGATTGGTTCAAGACCAAGAAAGACTGCAGAGTCACTGTTGAAAAGGCCTGAGTTCAACAGCTGAATCAGAACCAAGAAACAGAACTCAATGAAATCCTGAGCAGCCATTTTACCTTACAACTATTACAGTTAGCAGTGTTTTAATTGATCACTTAATATCATCTGATAGTAGAAGCGAGAACGAAAGATTAACGTAATAAAAGTTATACCAACACTGTTAGTAAATTTTTAAAAAAATTATCTAGACTTTTGACTAAAAAACCTTTAACATTAACTTTCTCTTCTGTGGAATAGAACACCAGAAATAAATTGTCTTATACAACACAGTGCTTTGTACTCTATTACCAAAAGTGATTGTCTATAAATACACGTAATACTAAAACATAGATGTTATTTTTAGGATTTATTTTGAGATAATTTGGCACGGGGAGATTTTCAAGCTGTAGTGGTGCACTGACAACATTCTTAAGCACTGAAGCTTTATAATAATGAATAAGGTTTCAGCACCTTTTGATCCAATGTGTCAATAACTCCATAATAATTTAGTAATCATATGGACTGCACAGAACCAAGGAGGGTATCATAATGTAACCCATAAGAAACCTAGATTCACATTCCACTTTATTTTCTAAATAACGTGGACCGAGTTACATTGATTTATGGACTTGTGGACTTGAAATATCTGTTAGTGTTTGTTCAATTGACTCTTTAAACCATGGACACGTAATGGAGAAATACAACTGTTGTTTTTCAGTTGTATAAGAGGACTTGTGTCACAATGATCTTTTGCATTAATTAGCAAGTTGATTCAGATCCAAGACAAAGCCCTCCATTCCAATCCTTACGCTTGTATTCCTGGCTTTTGTTAAGGGTGTTTTGTAAGTGTGAGAATCCTTTTCTGTATTCAGTATGATTGCATATTACTGCTGCCATATGTTGACTCTTAGGCGAGTCACTACTAGTTGTAGTATTAAGCCAGTGTGTAGAACTTGTCTACTTGTGTTTTCTCTGGCCTCCTTGTATGGATTGATTAATGATTATAGGTTAATCATCAACTCTTTGTAGGGTGTCATTAGTTCAATCAACATCTTTGGAATGCAACCATGTGACTTCAATTGATATAAGACACTGTAGTTTTGTTTTTGTCAAAGGGGTCTTTGCTAACACAGTCATGTGTATTCCTGAGCACCTCCTGCAGTTGGAACCAGCCTAGCATACAGGTTAAATTAATTTGATCAAAAAGTCTAGGTAAGACACTAGGTAAACCGATTTGATTCTGTCAGCAAGGTTTGCATGAATACAATAAACCTGAGCTTAACTGCACCAAGAGTCTTGGGTTCAATGTGTTATCATTGTATTGCACAGCCTTTGCGATAGGACCCTGAATTTTGTTACTGACTAACTTTTTCATCTCAAAGTCCAATTTTACATCACACCTCTGAGTCTCTCTCTCTTTTTTTTTAGAAGAAATTTACTGCCACATAGTGAAAGAGTATTTCCTTGTTCTGTCTGTCACTCTTGTATAGTCAGTCAAAGACATTTGTTCTTTAGCAGTTATTGTTAATAGCAGTAAATAAATACGTTTTTAGACCAATTAAGTGAAATGCGTTCATTTTCACCTTATAGTTAATGATCTCTTGCTGTACACTAATGTGCCAAAACACAAAGATTTGAAATCACTGGGTTAAAATGTAGAAAATGTAATTTTAATGTTTACGCCGGTGAACTAAGCTGACCACAAGAGGCATCAGGCGTCCAGCACTATGAGGAAAAGAAGCACAGAATTATTTCTATTGACTTTGCTGTAGAACTTTAGAATACAAGTTACATATTTTACTGTTTTCAGATAATGGTGACTTTTTTTGTGTATTAAAAAATGCGTGTGTCCTATAGGCGTCAGGTGTAACCGTGAACGATGAGGTCATCAGAGTCTTTAACGACATGAAGGTGAGGAAGTCTTCCACCCAAGATGAGGTGAAGAAGAGAAAGAAGGCTATCCTCTTCTGTCTCAGTGAGGACAAGAAGAAGATCATCGTGGAGGAGGGGCGCCAGATCCTGGTGGGGGACATTGGTGACACTGTGGATGACCCCTACGCCTGCTTTGTCAAGCTCCTCCCCCTAAATGACTGCAGATACGGTCTGTACGACGCCACCTATGAGACCAAGGAGTCCAAGAAAGAGGACCTGGTCTTCATCTTCTGGTACTTTTTTTTTTTTTTTGCAGGGTTAATGTGATCAGTCAGTCAGTTTTGACCAAATCGTTTGCTGTCCACTTGATCACTTGATTATCTGTGTGACTGATTTCATGTAACACACCCACAGTGGAACAGAAGTATCATAGTTAAAGTGTGCAGATTGGAATGATCACATTTGTCTTGTATTGATCACCAGGTGTTAAAAATCTAATTTCATGTCTGTTGTTGTTTACAGTAACTGATCTCAGTAACTGACTGTAACTGACCTCACTTGAGTCCTTGAGTCCTCAGACTCACATACAGTAATGGGCTATTATGCATTCATCGTCTGCTAAATGCATAAATGTAAATGTATTAAACAATGCCAATCCTTATCTATCCAAGGTAGTTTAACAGTAACACAGCAAAGTCAGAGTTGTGGATCAGACCACACCATCACTAAACCTTTCTGTTGTTTCTGTTCGAAAACATTGATTTTTTTTTCTTGTTTGAAACATATTAGAAAAAAACAGGAACGGTAATTTTTGTTTGGTTCTCACGATTTGTTTTTGTTTGGATTAATTTTGTTACAGCTGGTTCTAACATGGCTCCCTTGTTTTCCTCCTCAGGGCTCCAGATGGTGCTTCCATGAAGAGCAAAATGATTTACGCCAGTTCTAAAGACGCCATCAAAAAGAAGTTTACAGGTGAGTTAGGTCAAGAGAAATGCACAGTTGGGCTGTTTGTTCTGACTTTATTCAATACTGTGACAGGTTTTTCCTGGTATGTCAGGTTTTCTCCAGCACAACATTGTTAATGATATTATAGTTTTGTATGTATATTTTGAGTGTTATGTATAATCTTTTGTATTATTCTTTAGACACCACAATGACCCAATAAACAAAAAACAAAATGCTGATTCTTGATTCATGATCCTCACCTCACAACTATTTAACTGCAACCAGGCTCCTTGTAGGTGTTTGTTAATGATTCTAAATAAGATGACTCGTTTATTACTGCCGCCATTAAATGAGATGAAAACTTCTGATTATGACCATTATATGAATGTATGTGTGCTTAGGTATCAAACACGAGTGGCAGGTGAATGGTCTGGATGACATTCAGGACCGCATGACACTGGCAGAAAAACTTGGTGGTAACACGGTCATTTCTCTGGAGGGGAAACCGCTGTGATGTCACAGGCAAGCTGAGCGGAGCCAAACCGACCGCCGTGCCATCCGGACCGAAGCACCTGACCTCGCCTCCGACTCCACCCTTACCCCTACCAACACGACGCATCAACGTCTGTCTGTCCGTTTGTTCCTCGGGCGTCTTTGTTTCCTTTTTTTGTTCTTTTAGCTTTGTTACCACATGAAGGATCTCATTAACATAATGATATGCAAACTCTGCCCACTCCAATGCCACATGACTTTTGTTCAGCTGGCAGAAAAGCAAACAAAAACAAGAGATTAACCCTGGAAAATTGTCTCTCTATCTGTCTTTCCATTACTCTGTTTTGCCAAAAAAAAAAAAAGAAGAAAAAGTCGCACGTGTGGAGGCAAGTGCAGCATCATCCAGCTTTGCTCTGCCTCCTCTTTTACATGACTTTATTTATTACTGTAAAGTGTTGTTTCTTCTCCACTTTGTTCATACTGTGTTTCGACTATGCATTGAGTCATGAAGGTTTTGTTTCCCTTGAATACACTAATTTTTGAATGATGCTACTATTAGGGTTTGTTATCTCGGTTCTCATTACTGTCAGATTCACCGCAGTTGTCCTCACTGTTTACGTTTGATTTCAGAGCAGCGTTAGAGCACACTTTTATTTTATAAACACTACAGGAAGCAGATTTGACCCCAGCACTGAGAGACAACAACAAACAAACAAACAGCAGTGACATCAGGAGCCTTAAAGTGGAACAATGTTGTTTCTGAATTCACAGGAAGCCACTCTGCAATAAAAGCCTGTGGCGGATAAGAGTTTGTGTGTTTACTTCTTTTGTACCTCTATGTATCTTTCACATAGAAGTTCACCTCTGACATCAATGGTTAAAAAAAACCTACAGAGAAATTTACTGAAAGCAAAGTTCAAGTTAATTGAAACGGGCAAGACTGTAGCAGACCATTTAATTTCAAACAGCTGGACCTCACTTAAACCATATAATAACATCCAGTTAAATACGAGCGTATACAAGGTAGAACGTAATTGGCTCTGAACAACAGTAGAAGTTTGGTAATCGTTATATTCATTCTCAAATTAGTTTTGATAATACGTAACCTATGAAATAAAATGATTCCTAAGAAATATTTCACGCTTAAGAATCTTTTTTTATAAATGACTTTTTTCTCGTTTCTCTTCCTTGTTATACATTCGAAATATAACAACAGAGTTCAGAACTTATATGCATTCAAATGGTGTGTCTGTATAGTTCTGCCGCCCAGTGCCGCGAACTTAAAGCGAATCACGACGCATCACATGGTAATTTCACTGCTTTGATTTATGAAGTACGTATTTACATAATTATGGTTTTATATTATTATTTGGTGTTTGAACTCTGTTTTGAAGATATATTATTTTAGTTGGTATTGCCTAACGGTTGAATAATCACCTTTATTCAACCAAAATGAACCAGAGGTTTTTTAAATTGTATTCTATTTTGTTTGACTTCCGGTGATGATGTGTTGTTGACGTCTCATCACTTCCTGTCTCCACCCGTTGGCAGCCATGATGGTGAGTTTCCGTCTTCTATTTTTCTCTTCCTATGTTTTTTTAATGGTTAGTCTGTTGTCCTCGTCGACGGTGGCAGAACCGCTGCTGTTGACGCAGTTAATTACGTTGTTTATAGTTGGTTACTAACGTTTTTGTTTCCCTGTCCCTGCAGCAGGAAGGTCTGGACGAAGGACCTGACTTCCTCTCTGAGGAAGACCGAGGAGTGAGTTCACCTGTCCGTCTGTCTCTCTATCTTTCTGTCCGTCACTACGTATATTGTATTTCGGTCTATGTCTGCTTGTTCAGTTATGCAATTTGTTTGTGTCAGCTTATGTTTATATCTTGTGTAATCGTGTAATACAACGTTAGCTGAATGCTAACGCTGTATTAGCCCCTTTTATTAATTAAACTATTTTCCAGAGTGCAAATGCTAACACAGATTTACACAGACCTGGAACGTTAACAGTACCTGGCTAAATAGTGGTTTTTAAAGCTATTTAGGAGCTGTGATAATGATGTTAAAGCTCCATGAGGTCCTCAAGCACGATCACGTGACTATATGAAACAGAAAAAAGGGTTAAGGAATTCTGCGACTAATCTGTTTATACGGGTCACGAACCCCTCTCACATACACCTCAGGGAGGTGTCAAAAGTGTCAATACGCTGAAATAAACATGTGGTGATGGATTTTACTGATCTAGTGGACCAGCGTGATGATCCTATGTAGGTGGTGCATGTAATCGAAAGGGATGTGGGGTTGAAATGCATTACGGTCATCATTAGCATGTGGTCATCTGATCTCTGCTGCAGCCACGGGCAGTGAATGTAGATCTGCAGACGGACGCCACCCTGCAGGTGGACATCTCTGACGCTCTGAGTGAGAGAGACAAGGTCAAGTTCACTGTCCACACTAAGGTGAGAAAAATATTCTTATTTAGAGGAGTAGAGATAAATCATGAGGCAGAAATTATGAAGAAAGGAGTCATGAGCTGTGGTTCAATATTAGTGCTTGTATCTGTCAACCAGAGGTTTGTAAGGCAGAATTAGTAACGTACAACCCCCGATGTCCTGCTATAAGTGGGTAGATGGTAACACCTAATGTTTAACCTAATGTTTTAAACCATTACGCTGTCTTTAGAAATAGAAGAAAATGAACCAGCATAAAAGAGAAGCCTTAAAAGATAGAGGAACAATGTTCAATGAGCAAAACATAAGTCGGCATTAAAGAGACGGGTTGGATAGAAATTAAAATGTTTTAGAGTAGAAAGAGTCACATGTCAGCATTAGAAATGTATATATTATATATTCACACTGAATACCAGATTAGCCTCTGTTGTGGTCAGGTCAGCCTCAACACATTTGATAAATTTGAAAACATCTGACCTTGTGTCATGTGACCCATGTTTCCCCAGAGCACGCTGCCTAACTTCAAACAGAATGAGTTCTCTGTGGTTCGACAGCATGAGGAGTTCATCTGGCTGCATGACTCGTTTGTGGAAAATGAAGAGTATGCAGGATACATTGTAAGACTGGCCTACAAAACAAGTGTAAACAAATGCATGCTCAGTCATGTTAAAATTGATTTTTGTTGTTGTGACAGATCCCACCAGCTCCTCCCAAACCAGATTTTGATGCTTCAAGAGAGAAGCTTCAGAAACTTGGCGAAGGAGAAGGATCCATGACCAAGGAGGAGTTTACAAAGATGAAGCAGGAGCTGGAGGCGTGAGTTATAAACTGCTTTTCCCTGATGCGTTTTACATCACTCATGCTCTACATTAACTGTTTCTTTTTAAGGGAATACCTGGCTATCTTTAAGAAGACTGTTGCCATGCATGAGGTTTTCCTATGTCGTGTTGCTGCTCACCCCGTCCTCAGGAAGGACCTTAACTTCCATGTCTTCCTGGAATACAACCAAGACGTGAGTAACAGTGAGAGGTCCCACTCTGCTCTCTTTTTCTAACTGAGTAGAAAGAGAGGTTTCAATGATTACATTTGTTTATGTCTGTTTTTCATTGACCTCTCTTCTCTCACAGCTGAGTGTCAGAGGGAAGAACAAAAAGGAGAAACTAGAAGATTTTTTTAAGAATGTGGTGAAGTCTGCTGATGGTGTGCTAGTGGCTGGCGTTAAGGTGATCGTCTTTAACTTGTATTGTTCAGGGTGTTAACGGTGGGTGACTGTTTCTTCTCGCCACATCTGCTCTTGTCTGTTTCAGGATGTGGATGATTTCTTTGAGCACGAGAAGACATTTCTGTTGGAATATCACAACAGGGTGAAAGATGCTTCAGCCAAATCTGATAGAATGATTCGCTCTCACAAAAGTAAGAGGAACCCTAATTAAGTATGAAATCTGTTTTCGCGTCAGTGATGTGGAGGGATTATTTATTAATGGCCCCTATTTTGGGAAATTCCAATTAAAAACTACGTATTTAGATGCTGCAGATGACATCAACAGAATCGCATCATCTATCTACACATTAGGAACACAGGACTCTACAGATCTGTGCAAGTATGCCTATATTGCAGTAGTCAGTTTAAAAGAGTGAGCACGTTGTGGCAGTGTTTCTGAGGGTTGCTTTTTTCTGTTTCAGATTTTTTCTTAAAGTGTCTGAGCTGTTTGAGAAGATGAGAGTAAGTAAACAAAAAATCACAGGAAAAGAAAAGACACTCAAAGTTGTCACTTTTTGCTTATTTACTTAACCCACACATACCACAATCAACCATCCATATCATTACTGCCTTAATGACCAGAACAAATTTGCTAAAGTTGTCTTGTTCATCAGAAAATTGAGGCCCGTGTTGCAGCAGATGAGGACCTGAAACTGGCTGATCTGCTAAAATATTACCTGAGAGAATCGCAAGCTGCTAAGGTTGGTCTGCGTTTTTCTACTAGCAGCTGTACAGTGCAGCTGTAGTTACTGCCTGTGTTTAACTGCTGTTTTTATAATCTGGTGCAGGACCTGTTGTACCGCAGGAGCCGGGCTTTGGTGGACTATGAGAATGCCAACAAGGCTCTGGACAAAGCACGGGCCAAAAACAGAGATGTACTGCAGGCAGAGACGAGTCAGCAGCTCTGTTGCCACAAGTTTGAGAAGATCTCTGAATCTGCCAAACAAGGTGAGATGATAAACTCCTGCAAGCTACGTTAGTCAGACCAGAAAGGCTAATACCACTTGTACTATCATAACAATTTAAGTTACATCACTTGGTGATTCTGCAAAGCTAAAATGACCAACAACACTATCACAGCTAACAATGGTAGAATGGCAAACACTACTAACAGTAAGAAGACTTTGAACACTGACGGTACCATCAATATCCTCATGACTGCCGATCGTAGCTATCCTTTCTCAGGACTTTCGTCATTTGGTCTTGTTTTACCTCTGCGTACAGAGCTTATTGACTTTAAGACGAGACGGGTGGCAGCATTCAGGAAGAACCTGGTGGAGCTCGCAGAGCTGGAGCTCAAACATGCCAAGGTAAGTTCCTGATAACTGTTGAGGTTCCATCTGTTCGTTATGGTTTAAATAACAGATAAACTGACTGTGGCTACCTGTCATCTCTCCTACAGGGGAATCTTCAGCTGCTGCAAAGCTGTCTGGGAATCCTCAAGGGTAACACCTAACTCCACCACTGCCCCCACAGCCTAAAGGACACGCCCCACCATCACACCCCTGCCCTCAACTTACTACGCCCATTGTGGGGTGGGGCCTGGGCAATTGATTGACACTGATAATTTTGGACCAGATAGTGAGTGAGAGTGAGAAAGAAAAAGAACGTGACAGGAAGTCCGTCAACTTCATCAATGCTGCAGCTTCTGTTCTGGTTCTGCTGGCCATGGTCTAGTTTCAGACCTGTTCTGCCTGTAGTCATGGTCCAGTATCACACTTGTCTTTGTCCAGTAGAACCAGCTGGTCAGTGATTTCCTGTTTGTTCTCTGGTCTAAATCCAGTTTGGTTCTGGTTTTGTAGTGTAACAGATTGAACTCTGGTTCTGGTTCTTGGTGTCAGTTCAGAACTGATTTGAAACAACCAAAACAGCAGAGTCTGAACAGAATGCCAAAAGGCTGCTCTGACAAGGCAAGGCCAGAGCCGCATATTGGTTCTAGTTCATCACCTGAACTTCTGTGCTTCGACTCAGACATGCTGCAGGTTGGGTAGCGTATGATGTCATTTTATTCAATAAGCCTCATTTCTGTCCGTGATTATCTTCCTCATCTGTATGTGTATGTTCCTGTCTAATATTCCTTCAGGACACTGGTCCAGATTCATGTCCGCAAAAGTGACTTGAGTGGTGGTTTTATTCCTGTGTGATGCTTGGGGTCCATCTCTCGGTTACTGTTCTTATGAAAGTGAAATGTCACTACATGAAAAAAAGCCTTGTAAATGTTTGTATTAGACAATAAATGAAATGCTAATCACCTACATCATTATTGTTATCGTCACTAACTGTAGCTTGATGATTTGCCGTCTCTCGGCTGTTTCCTGTTTTGCCTTAATGTGGTCAATCACTTTGATTTGTCGTAAATTTTTGACACTGTTTATGAATGTGTGACCAAAGCTTCTTTTACGTGATCAAAAAGAAATAAACTGCAAAACAAAACGGCACCAATTTGTGTTTGTCATTCTCTCTAAAATAGTATGATATTTCCAACTTGGAAAAATGATGAGCTACTTCTGGCATCAATTAAAACGAATTGGATTTGTTTTAGTTAAAGTGTCTTTCCTCTACTGTTACTATATTGAAAAAATAAACATATATGATTAAAGAAAGAGTGCTGTGTGTCCGTCTGTCTGTCTGTGTGATCTATCTATAAGTAGGTATCTCAAAGCTTATATAGTGAAAATCGGAAGCGGAAGTCTACGTTCGGTACTTCCTGTGACACCGTGTTGGCGCACGCGCAGCAGCTCAGTGTTGTGAGAAAGCTGCTGCAGTGTGGTTAAAGATGAGTTCCATCGGTACCGGGGTAAGTATGCGAATGTGTTGTCATTTTCATTTTCCAAATCGTACTTTGTGTCACTTAATTTACACCTCAGTAAAAATGGTTTTCTTCTGTACAATGTTTCATTCATTGCGATATGATTCTGCTAGCGTATTAGCTGCGCATTAGCCTGCTGCTGAGTCACAGCAAGGCCCGCAGTGCTAACAGAAGCTAACTGAAACCGAAACTTTACAATATAAGTTTTTGCTGATTACTTTAACAACAGTTCATATTTTTATCTTTTGCTAATTAGGGATTGTGAATAATTTCCGATCCCAACGTTACCACATTCACGTGGGGTGTTGGCTGCGAGAGAAGTCCGTGTTTAAACACTCAGCTGCTCACCAACCAAACGTCATCCCCGGTAAACATAAAAAAATAATTTAGCTATCTCCGTGTGTTCACACTGTCTCACTTTATCATGAAGTAAACTCCGTCTCTCTAGAAAGTTTTAAAACGTTCGACCTCGTTTCTTTTGGCCAGCAAACACTGTGTATTCCATCATGGGCCATGCCCGCAACATTGATGCAGCAGATGCTGTTTTATATATTTTCTGTTGACCTAATGTTTTGAAAGAGTCAAAAAATATGTCTCAAACACTAGATTATTTCTGAGTGATATACACATTTGTCTGTTTCCTTCAAGTTGGAAATGTTTATCTCTGACTCTCTGTCTGTCTTGACCTGTGTGTGACCCACAGTACGACCTGTCAGCCTCCACCTTCTCTCCAGATGGTCGAGTGTTTCAGGTGGAATATGCAATGAAGGCTGTGGAAAACAGCAGGTAACTCTCTACAAGATCACATTCACAAAACAAACCCACCGTAGCACCAACGACAACTGAGAAGTATTTCACATCACCTCAGTTGCATGGTCACAGCCCCCAGAAAAACCTTCTTAATTGTGTCATGTGGTCCTTCAAGTGATAACCAGCATCAACTCTTAATTTTATTTTCACACTTTTGACATTGGCATCAGTTTGGCTCTTTGCTATGAAGCTATTTTGTATTTTGGGATATTTATGATGGTGGATGTACTTAGGTATAGAAATCGAGAACTGGCTTCTGCTGGTCTGATTTCTTGGAATTGTGTGTCTGTTTGCTTAACGATTCTGCATACTGCCACCACAGGACCTTTTCTTGATGGTACATTAACATGGCCGGTATTCCCCCTAATTTGGAGTGTTAACAACAGGGTGTCAAAGCAAAAGTGTTCTGAAGTACGGTTGCATTTCATGAATAAGGCACTGTGGCTGTTTACAAGGCGGGGAGAGCGTTAACAACAAAAAAGCAGAGGAATATGTACAGAATGCAAAAATACTGCGACACATTACAATCATTTACGGTAGATGTTGACTTTTATACGCTACGTTGCAATCATGCTGTTCGTTGTCCTAAATAACTTTTTCTGGTCCAATCCTGTGTGATTGTTGTGACATTGGTCAACTTGCTTTCACTATAGTATGTAAATGTACATCCCTAATAATAACATCTGGATGAGTTTGTGTTGCGTGCATTCAAGTGTGTTACCATCAAATCACCATCAGATTTATACTTGAGATTACTATGGCAGGATATTGAAAATGAGGCATTTGTATTATATTTTATTTCCTAACTTAATAAGAGTTGATAAGAGAAAGTAATCGATAAGTGATATCGATAATAGAACCAGAATGGGTACATTATTAATTCCCGTAGCACATGTGTGTGACACTGCTGTTTTCACACTGCTAATTGTCCAGTTATGGATAATAAAAGCCATTCAAATAATAAATTATCATTGTCTTGTAATTTTTGTGGGTCAACAGCACAGCCATCGGTATCCGCTGTAAGGATGGCATAGTGTTCGGCGTGGAGAAGCTGGTTCTGTCCAAACTTTACGAACAGGGTTCCAACAAACGCATCTTCAACATTGACAGACATGTTGGCATGGTAACCACACGCACACAAAAACAATGACATTCTGCAGGAGCGAGTATTGATAGATCCTTACTGTGTTCATACAAACACTGTTTCTGTGAGTAAAGTTCTCCCTCTGTCTTTGTCTTCAGGCTGTGGCTGGACTCTTGGCTGATGCTCGGTCTCTGGCTGAAGTCGCCAGAGAAGAAGCGTCAAACTTCAGGTCAAACTATGGACATGACATACCTTTGAAGGTAAACCTCACAGGGAGTTGCTCCTGTTTTTTCCCCCCTACCATCTCTGATTCTGATCAGCCAGTCTTGTTCTTGTCCAGTTTATAAAATGGTAGTAGAGAAGATGAAATGATTTCCATATTTTTGCCCACTCTGTTTCTGGCGTTGTTGACATCAGTTCATTTGACCATCAGTGCCATGCTTCATTCCAGTTCAACAGTGTTACCTTATTTGGGGCAGTGTGATTGGGCAGAAAAGCTGCAAATCTTCAGCAATCAATGTTGCACCCCACTTTGTGAAATGCTCTGCCACGCCTTGATTATTGTTTGCTGTTCAGAAGGAGCTTCAAACATGGAAACACATGTTGGTTGTGTTTCCATAGCTTGTATCATGTCTCTTGTCCACTTTCCATCCTCTCTTTACTTCATGAAAGCCCAAGTGCTGCCACACATTGGCTTTTAAGACAGGGGGCGCCAGTCAAATGTTATTGTTCTAGTTCAGCTATATTTACTGAACTTCTCTTTGGTTACACCTGTTATGTTTCATTAGCCACTGGTTTAAAGAGTCTACCTGATGCAGTGACCCTTGTTATGCATCTATGACATCTCACTACCCGATTGATTCAATGCAGCTCATTGTTGACATTTTAGTAGCTAAAAATGTATGTTTTATTAATTATGGATCTTTAGAAATTGATTTATAATTGTTCAAGAGAGAATCGTCATGCATTTGAAGAATTATTTCCCCCTTCCTTTTACCTGTAATGTGAGAGAGAAACACTATGGATTCTGTCACCTGTCAAATGAGACATTTCCATTCATAAGGACAGAGACATGGCAAAAAGGAGGAAGCCTAAATAAGGAACACAACTTAAGGAACACAACTTTCCCACCAAGACCCAAAAAACCTGTGGATGTCATTACTTATAACATTTAGAGGATCAAACCTAACGTCCAAGTAACGATCATTAGCCTCATTTCTCAGCTAACAGCACTCTCTTTGTTGCAGCACCTGTCAGACAGAGTGTCCATGTATGTGCACGCGTACACACTTTACAGTGCTGTCAGGCCCTTCGGCTGCAGGTAAGTGATGTCATAAGTCGCATCACCTGCACTTTTTCCTTTGTCAATATTATGTTTGAGGGTGTGTGTTTTTTTTTTTCCTTCCAGTTTTATTCTAGGTTCCTATGACAAAGACGATGGTCCTCAGCTGTACATGGTCGACCCATCAGGCATCTCACACGTGAGTCATTACCTTTTTACCTTGCCAACCTGGTTGAGTCTTCTGTGTTTGGTCCTGTGTTAATATTGAGGAAAAGACAATATGTGACTGAAATAAATAGACTCTACATTGTTTTTACAAACACTTTCGTGTCACCAGCATTCAGTATGGCTGCTGGGTTAAAGGAAAAACTCATAATGACTAATATTTTGGTCAGTATTGAAATCACAATTATTTCATCCAAGTAACTGAAAGTATAATATTCACAAAAAGGAAACATAGGTAAATAACATCAGCAGTATAGTGTACTTACAAAATCTTTTTAAAAGAACAAATATTTAATTAAAGTCAAATTATGTTTATAAATGAAATATAAAGAAACAACATTACAATATTAATGAACTATAACTCCATACACCTGACTTTTGAAACACTCCACAGTGAGAATGTGACCATGAGTTCAGCCTTCGGGAATGGTGGAAGTTCATGTGCACAAATCATTCAAGGCTAAGAGTTTATTTGCAGAGCTCAGTGTTATATTAATTACCGTTTTTACGACTACTTCTTTTATATTATGGTTTTGAGTCAAATTCCAAATCAAAATTCAATTAATTGCACAGCCCTCAGATTCCAAGTCTCAATGTTGGACATGTGGTCCACTCATATTTGCTATGCTTTGTCATCTATTTCACCCTTACTGAAATTGTTATTTGTAAACTTGTCATTAATTACATTATTTTAAAACCTCAGGGAATTCCTCTCAGTTAACTTTTTAAAACCTTTTTGTCGTCTGGTTTTGTATGTTGCAGGGCTACTGGGGCTGTGCCATTGGGAAAGCTAAACAAGCTGCTAAGACAGAGATCGAGAAACTGCAGGTGAGTCTTATCATCAAGGTCCGAGGGCATGAGGATGATTGTCAGCATTAGTGAAAAGTGGCTGTTGCCGAGGAAATCATTGGATCAAACCCCTGTAGATTCACTTATTGTTAAACATATTGAATAATACACTATTGTCAAGTAAAGTTTGTCTTTGTTTATAAGACAATGACCTGATCTGTAAACATTTGCCATGCCACACATTATATGTCCTGACTAGGCTCACCTGAATTGTCTCTTCAAAAACTGTTTGTTTTTTTAGATGAAGGAGATGACGTGCAGAGAACTTGTGAAAGAAGTGGCTAAAATGTGAGTGAAGAAGAACACGCACTGTTAACTGTGGTCACAGAGTCTGCTGGTTATGATTTTTAAACGATTTCTAACTGTTTTTAGAATCTACATTGTTCACGACGAAGTAAAAGACAAAGCCTTTGAGCTGGAGCTCAGCTGGGTTGGCGAAGGTGAGAGACAATCAGTTCTGCTGATGTCATCAGTCTGACATGTTTAAAATCGTAATAAGTCACGTACTAATTTAAAAATATATATAGTATATTTCATACTCTACATAATAAAAGAATTATTGTCTGAGCAACTAGAAGGAAATACCACAGACTTTCAAAGGTATCCAGAAATCTATCATGTTGCATTCCCCCCAATAAGATGCACAGAAAGTTCTAGGGGTAGTGTACATTAACATATAAATTATATCAGTAACTTACTTTTCAATGCTTTTAGCTCAGTTTTTTTGTCAGAATCAGCAGTGTTTTTACACCTGGCTGCTGGGCTTTATGCCTGCTGTTTTTAACCCTTTTTCCGCCCAGGTTAACTGTATGACTAACTAGGTTGGGGGTCTTTTTAATCCAGAAAACAGTGGAGGAGTTAGTGATCACTATGTGCAGTCTCAGCGGGTATAAAGCTTGGTAAACATAACTACCCTGGACAAGCAGTAAAATAACAAACAGTAAAAGTATATTTCAGGTTACAGTGTTTATTTCAGTCACAATGTTGATGAACAAACACTAAACCTGCAGATGCATTTATTGAAGCCTTTTTTTTCTTCCTCCTCCAGTCACAAACGGACGTCATGAGCTGGTGCCAAAAGATTTGAAAGAGGAAGCAGAAAAATATGCCAAGGTGAGCGGACAGGTCTTTGTCTGTGTGTATGTGCACAAATTATAAACATTTGCATATCTTTATCTTCTACAGAATTATGCTGCTCATTCTTCTTGCCTTAATTCTTTTTTCTACTATTTTTCTCTCAACTTCATTTTGTATTTAGATTTCTCTAGAGTATTTGTTTATATCTAGTCTTGTTTAGATATTATACTTCAGCAACTTTTAAACATGATAAAGAATGTGTATTATGATGATAAAAGTGATGCAGACTTTTCACTCTCTGCTTCTCTGCTTGTGTTTATAAGGATTCCCTAGAGGAAGAGGATGACTCTGATGAAGACAACATGTAACCCCGACCCATCTGTCCCTGTTCACACCTGGTTTCTTTTTTTATGTCTGATAAATTTGAACATTTCCAGCACTGGTTTGTTTTCGGTTCTGCTTTACACTTTACATTTTGAATGAAAAATAAAATTAACTTTTGAAAAGTTCATTTGTCATGCATTATTTAATATTTTCCCAAAGACATTGGAAATAAATACACGTAACAGCCTGCAAACTCACAATTCGTTCATAACACAATAGGCGTATAAGTAAACAGCTTAAGTCTTAACATTTTAACAGCTCAAACCTGTGAAAATAATAGTTGGGTAGCTTTGTCCAACAGGAAAGTGGAGTTTGTAAACCCACCAAAGTTCATGCAGAACCGTAGTAATTGTACTTCACAGTCACATGTGAACAGCTGGTATATTTAAGCACAATGTTGGGAATTTGACAACTGAACTAGAGGTGTCACAGTCACAAAAATACACAAATAACCCTACTGTTGGAGTCAGTAGTGGTTCAACAGCTGCAGTTTGAGTAAAATCAATTATTTTCCTACGGGCTTTGGTGTGTAAGGGTGGGCGGTTTATGAACTTCAGATTACTGTTGGAAAATGTTTCAGTCGCTTAAAAAACACGCACTTCCAAAATACTTCACTTTCATGTAGTTACGTGTGATCAATGAAACTACGCATTTTACACATTAATACGTTAAGTACTTTATTATATCTACGTAGGTCACAAAGCCAAAGGTTTGTGGTCTGTGTCCCACTTAGACATATCCAGGTTAGCCCCCCTCTCCCTCTACACGGGCGCCCTGGATGAACCATGTGTCCACCACTGACGGAGCCCTGTTCTCCACGTCTTTGTTGTATAGAAATAACCTCCATGTTCCCTAAGAGCAAAACGACATATATGGCGCTGTCGTCACTGCTATTCTGTTACGTAAAAGAGCCGACGTCCCCGCCCACCATGTCTTTACAAACGGCGCCACCAAACACAGACAGTATTCGGCTCGCAACAAACAACCCAGGTTTTGTCATTCGTCTAGCGTCCAGTCCGTGAGGACAAACCATGGACATTTGTTCTGTAAGCACAACAAAACCGAGTGGTTCCTTCAAAACAAGAGGAGTCCGGAGAAGGTGACGTCTCACGTATGGAAACCGCATCGCCAAAGTGCCTCAATAAAAGTGTCTACTTTAAGCTTTGTAGCAGTCATATTCAGGACATAGATGCTGTGCAACGCAGTAAAGGATGTTAAAGTAAATCACAGTGAGACTCCTCAGTTTCGGCGCTGTTGTCTATTTTTGTAAACTCCGTACAGCTATATACATTCAACTAGAAAACTGTGTTTATCTCCTTTTCCGGTTACTTTGGGACAGAAACACTCGCTCTGTAACGCACATATATGTCGGGCGAATGTGCGTCATGTTTTGGATATTGGGTAATTAAACGAATGTAAATTGGGTGGAATAATTTATAGCGTCACATTGTGTGAACAAAGCAAAATAAAATTTGGCGAATCGGTATATCTTGTCGAAAACTAGGTGTTTTAAACACGCAAGAATTTTGAATGGAGATTGGTGATGAACGTCTCTTGCACGTATCGGGGCGGGGCTTCCTACTCTATCTGTACCAGGACAAGGAAGCTATTTCGGCCAATAGTACTGCGCCTTTGCAGGGCACAACAAGAGAGTGACCAATCACTAGCCATAGTTACGGACTTGCACACGAGCTTACCTTGATTGGACAACCTATGAACTGATGCCGTCATTTCCCTCGTGGCGCCGTGTTTGTGTGAACCAACAGCGACGCCGCACGAAAACTGACCAATTACAATTCTTAAATCGATCAGCGAATGAGATTTCTCCGCCGCAGTCACCGCTGTCAGCTCAGCCAATCGCCTGTCGGGAAACAGATCTCGGGCTCAACAGCTTGTTGTTCGAGAATCGCTTCGCAGGCTGGGAGAGAGGAAGCAGCAGCAGTCGTAAATGTGAGTAAAACATCCATGTTTATGAAAAACGGAGCCAAAAATAGTACCAGAGGAAGTTTAGGTGTGTTGGGCGGACAGAGAGTTAAGGGTATCGATGGCTGCTCCGTCGTGAGCCGCCCGAGTGCGCGGAGCAGACCGCGGGCTGAATGGCAGCAGTAAAGGCGAACAAACGTGAAGCTGCTACGTCTTTGTGGAACAAAAATAAATCCGACACACTCCGGTTCTATCTACTGTCACTGCTTCTGTTTGTGTTCCTGAATGTTTGCAGCGTGAACGTCGTTCCTGTGGCCGCTGGAGGAGCTCGCTCTTCGGTGAGCTCACGGTTTAAATCGCCGTTAGGTTTCCCAAACTGATTCGTTATTAGCCGAGTTAAGTAGCTAAATTTAGCTCCTGAGCTGAGAGTCGAACCTCTTTAGAGGAGAAAAGGGAAAACATAGTTGTTCGGACTCGGTTCGTGTTTCGACGACTCCTCCAGTCCTCCTTCTCTCCTGTTAGCAGGCTGTTTCGGGGGGAGGTGAAGGGAGAACAGCTAGCAGAGTTAGCTGACATGGCGACGTGACTCAGAGGAGCACAGAGAGTGGAGCGGGAACAGGATCATCACCGTGTTCCTTGCACTGAACAGCCGCACACTTTTTAACCCGCTGTACCATGGTGACAGCGAAGGCTCCTCGATGACCGTGAGCTTGGTTCCCGGAGTTAACGAAGAAGCTGCATTTGTACTGATCTGGGGGAGGAGGGGAGAGGGTGAGTGAGGTGGAGGGGCAGCAGAAGAATGTCTGAGCTAACACAAGTGAGAAGCTAAGTGTGTTAGCGTAGCAGCATGTTAGCGACAAGACAAGCTCACTGACATTGTGTCCTCTGTTTCTATCCTTGTCTTTTAGTTGATCCCCAGTCTCTCGAGCTGGACTCCGTCACACATCGCTGAAGATGAAGGTATGAGATCCAACCGGATCATTCCCACCAGACACTTCTCTTCTTCATCACAAACTCTGTACTGAGGGTCAGAGCAGTGTCAAAGACTTTCACTTTAGACTTCGGTCCTAATCTAGGTTCAAACTAAGACACAGTCTAATGTACACAAGTCCAACGTCATGTGCTCTTCAACTAAACACACTCTCAACTTATAAAATAAATTTCTACTTGCAGGACAATACACGAGAAAGCAGTACTTCAAACAGCACAGTTGAGTGTAGACTCCATGTGATTGACAGCTGAGTCTTTTAAAGCCACTGACAGTTTTGCCTTCAATCGGGCTCCTTTTCGACAGTCACCACTAACTTCTCCATCTAATTGTCCTCTATAAATGAATTATGTTTCAACATGCCTAACTGAAGAGGAGCCTAACTTTGGTATTGGGTCCACAGGATCACCAAGAAAAGATTAACTTAACAATATAAAACATTATGGAGAAAATCAAACTTTGGCCTAAACCAGGCAAACATGAGAAGGTTGACCAAGGCTCGATCTTTTATTTGTGTAGTTATTTAGATCACAAAGCAAGTATACATATCAATATGTCTTCCCTAAGATTAAAGTAACATATAGTTGGGAGGTTACCAATTTCTCTGTTGTCTTCCTGCTTCTGTTGTAAACAAACACACCACATCTTCACTGGTGAAGATGGGAGGTTTTTCTTACCCAGAAAGCTGTAATCAGCAACTATTAACATTGACTGCAATCTGAAAAATATACAGTATATACAACAGTTTTTTTTCATTATAATGATCATATATCTCTGATTGCAATTTGGTTTGTGTCCATGTAAACAAAACACAATTTAACTATAAGTGTCATCACAGCTGGGTTAAACTAGTAAGAGAAAATAACTAAATAAGAGAAAGAAGCAGCTTTGTTACCAAACACAAATATCACCAAGTCTGAAAGAAATTGATTTTTGAATATATATATACATATATAGGAAAAGAGAGAGAGAGAGAGAGAACAAGTAAGCAAGAATAAGTTACTTAACAAAAGACTAGAAGTCATTCTAGTGAAATCAATATTGTCCTCTGTTTAGTAGCATCACAGTCCAGGACTAATGACCTAAGCATTGGTGACCAACTAAAACTTAAAACCATTGAGATTCATTCCCTTGGCCACTTGGACTCTAACTCTTGGTGTTGTCGTTGGACCACAGTCAAATTTATCTTGCTGTAGCTTTATCCCTCAGATAAGTCAGGTTATAAGTCATTGCGGTCATGTGTTGACCAAACACACTTGTATGTGCACATGACTGTTCAAAACAGCGTTGTGGATGAGACCCTGTCCACTGCCATCGATGGCTGCTGTACTTCTTCAGCTTCACTCTGCTGTCAGATGTCAAGCTGTAGAGTCACAGTTGTCTTTTGCAGGGCATGCTGGCACTGTGTGTGTTGATGTTTCTGTGTGTGTGTTGCAGGCAGCAGACGAACCTGCCTACCTGACGGTGGGGACAGACGTCAGCGCCAAGTATAGAGGAGCCTTCTGTGAGGCCAAGATCAAGACGGTGAAGCGCATGGTGAAGGTCAAGGTGAGAGTGACAGGAACAGTTGACTTGCAGGTTCTGAGTGGTGTGTAAAGGCTTCTGTGCTGCTGAGGTGGATTGGTAGATGACAATGTTTGACCGTGCACTGAATTTCTACAGACACATCTTCAGCGATGTTTGAGAATGTTTGTGTTTGCACATCAGTTCCTCTAACTTGGCCTTTGGTTGAGTCTTTTTTGTCTTTTAGAACAGAAACATATTTCCTTTCTTTTTGGCCTTAAAATGTAAATATCATCTGGTTTCTTAAGTGACTGTAAACAATATTTTAGGATGTCATTATTGTTCTAGACTATTGGTCTGTTTCACAGCAGTTTCTGTCTTTGTGTTGGCTTACACCAGTCAGCCATTCATATGTTACACTTGTTCTGAATCATACTGCTTGGATCTGGACTGGGAAAATAGGAAGAGATCATAAAACAAATATAAATCCACTGTTTCAGTGTTTCCCAGAGTAACTTGCAAACTGTTTGGCAAAAAAGCCACTGGTTCAGCTATTGTATTAAAACTAACCATAACAAAAGTATTTTTATACATCTTCACAATTCTGTCTGGGCACCATTGTGTCTGTGTAGACCAGAAAACAGAGTTGTGGGCAGGTGAGAGTGCTTTTTATTTAAATTTGGGCAACATCCCTGTCCTCACATTAACAAGTTATGAAGTTTTTCAGTCCTTGTTCAAATTGGACTGTAGGGCTCTACAGTACAACGTGAAGTGTAACTTTGAGTTCTCCCAAAGTTATTATTGTTGGTCTCAGGTGTAGTGTTGTGACACAGTTCATGGGTTGTCGATCGGTAGACAAACATTGAAGGTGGAGTGATGATGCTGAGAAAAGGTTTCGCTCAATGAGCTGATGATGTCACATGATGTCACATTTTCTCTTGGCTGTCTGACCAAATCCTTGCTGAGTTTCATGTCTGCCCGTCAGCTGGTTTGATGCACCAGGATGATGCACCATTATATTAAGAATAAAAGGCAGTAAATCATGCAGTGAACAGCCTGGTGCAGCTGAAGACACGACTTAAACTAAACCTTCTTCTCTACTCAGGTGACGCTCAAAGGTGAAAGCACATCTCAGGTGGTGCAGGATGACCAAGTGAAAGGACCTCTGAGGGTAAGATGATGAGAATGATGGGTGGCCTTGTTAATAGTGATTTTAAATTATAATTAAATTGTTTGGATTTAAAATACACAGTCTAGAAATGGTTCTCACGTTCTCAGGTTGGTTCTACGGTGGAGGTGAAGACCAATGAAGGTCTGTCCAGTGAAGGCACCATCAGTAAACTAACAGATGCCAGTCTCTACACTGTGGGTGAGTCTCCAGCTCTGACACACACACAATCATGACAAAAACCATGGTGTTTTGTTTATAAATATATAATGACTGTGGTAAGGAGTGATGATACTGAGAAAAGGTTTCGCTAAATAAGCTGACACTATTGTATGATGTCACACTTTCTCTTGGCTGTCTGACCAATCACGTCTGTTGCTCCTGTAGCTGATGAAGGCTAACTCCAATGAGATACTTATGACACTTGTTGCACGTTGTTTTCAGTGTTCGATGATGGAGACGAGAAGACTCTGCGTCGCACGTCCCTGTGTCTGAAGGGAGAGAGGCACTTTGCAGAGAGTGAGGTGAGTCATGGGAGGCTGGCTCTTCTTTATCTCGCCCACGGTTTCACCAAAACCAAAGTAACAGTTCAACAAATGAGTCAGTTAAGATTTACTGTAGTTCTGTCGCCAAAGTTAAAGTGTGTCCTGTGGTCAGCCAAACCTTTCCAAAAATTATTTCAAATACAAGTCAGTGTTATCTTTTATTTTTTCAGACATTGGACCAGTTGCCTCTGACCAACCCAGAGCATTTTGGTACACCAGTCATCAATAAAAAATCAAACCGTGGTCGCCGATCATCCCAGGCTGTGTGAGTTTTTTTTTTTTTAATGTTTCACTTTTTTAATCAATATCACATTAAAGATTTGGCCTTAAAGCTGTGGCATCTGTCTTCCTTAGAGCCGATGAGGAAAATGAGTCTTCGTCTAGCGAGGATGAAGAAGATGACAGGAGGAGACTGAACGATGAGCTGCTGGGAAAAGTCTGCAGCATCCAGAACGAGTCAGAGGAGACGAGCAGCTGGTTCTTGGCTCTGGTGAGATCTTTAAAAGTCATCTGAATGGTTCTAGAACTGTTTACTGATTCCTAATCTCAAACGTGAATCGGCTGCTTTTCTAGATTTTGTTGCACAGAGATTTCTTTAAAAGAGATTTAAAAAGTTTAGATTTAACTGCAATAATATCAACCTAAAGATACTGGCCTAAATGTTAGCTGCTAGAACAGTGGAAATATTGACCGTCGATATGTTTCAATCCCTCCCTCCTGATGTAATTGTATATTTTGTTAATATTATTTGGCTGATTTTTATTTGTCATGAATTTAAAATATGTTATATCTGAATCTGACAGTCCCAACTGTCGGCAGGATTCTGACAGTTTTAATTACTTTAAATGCCCTTTTCCACAGACAATTCTTTGTATTTGAGTACCACGAGTAAGTTAAATGTGCTGGGAAGAACCACAGTGCTGTTAGTCATGTGACCCAACTGTGTATGTTTGTCCTGCAGGTGGTGTCTCCAAGCTGTAACGATGAGCTGGTGGTGAAGAAGGACCAGTGTCTGGTCAGATCATTCAACGATGCAAAGTTGTGAGTTTAACTTATTGAATTATTCTTCTATCAAAAACATTCTTTAAAGATTCTGGTACTGTAAACAGAAACTGATGATTCCTGTCATTCCCTGCTTCAGCCTCACAGTGGCAAGGAGACATGTGCACACTCTGAGCCCCTACACTATAAACAAGCCAGAGTTTTCAAACAGGAGAGGTAGGTGATAGCAGGTCCCACAATGCAACAGGGCATTGAGGCAACTTTTTATTATTTCACTCCTTTTCAATCCTACTGTTTGCTCTTCTGGCTCCAGGTCTGGACTCGGCACAGCTCTTTCTCAGGAGCAAAAAGATTCCTGACATGTGGAAAATGGACATGAGTCAGATCCTGGACTCTTCATCCAGTGACGATGAAGATGATGAGGATGAGAAGGAGAGTGAAGAAGAAGACGAGGAGGAGGAAGATGAGGAAGATGAGAAGAAAAAGAAGAAACACATAAAGGAGGAGGTGAGAGTCAAACAGTGATGACAACTATTATGATGTGATGATGGGCAGAGTCACACTCTTAACAAACCTGTCTACGTCTGTGTGAGCAGCCGGAGGAGGAACCTGACCCAGAGGAGCGAGACAACTTCCTGCAGCAGCTCTACAAGTTCATGGAGGACAGAGGTGAGACAGCTGGGGTCAAATGATTGCCCTGGCTGATTTTTTATTTATTTAAGTGAAACTGTGGCACATTCAAATATGGTCTATTTCTACAGGAACTCCCATCAACAAACCTCCAGTTTTAGGTTACAAAGACCTGAATCTCTTCAAACTCTTCAGATTGGTTTATCACCTGGGAGGCTGTGACAAGGTGAGGACATTTTTTATTTATGTCTGTCTCACTATTTCTTTAACAATAAATATGTTTACATCCCCACAGGTGTAACTAGAGCTACTTTGTCTTGGGGTTTAATGGTTTGTATCAGCAGTTAATGGTGAAATTTAAATGAATTCTACTGTCATTTCTGGCCCAGCACATCAGCCTAAATACACCAATACTAAATACTTCCTCCTCTGTTGACTGGATTTATTTGGGGAAGTGAACACTTGTTGCTTCTCTTATAAATTCTGCCACTGTTCACCAAGGCTTGGGGCAGAGGGGACACTAACCATTGGATTGCATAATGTCCCATTTTAAGACGGTCTCTTTTGTTGGACTACAGACAATTCATCAAAAAAGAATAAAACAATCTAATTAAAAGGTTAGTTATTTTTATCATCTGATAACCCTGATATGTTGAGACACTTGGTCGTGTGGTTATTTGTATGTAACCATGGGCTTAGTTTCACGTCTCAGATCAGGAAAGAGACAGTGTAACTGAGCCTCCTGGGGTCATGTGACCTGCTGTAGGCCAGGGATGATGATGCTGAGAAAGGTTTCGCAAACTGGACTGATGTCCTGTGATGTAATTTTCTCTTGGCTGTCTGACCAGAGCCTAATGAGGTTCACCTGTGACTTAAACAGTCACTCCAAAGTGACTGTGACCCATTAACCCATGTTTTCTTTATGTCCCTCTGTCTGTCTCTAGATTGAGTCTGGGACTGTGTGGAAGCAGGTCTACATGGATCTGGGAATCCCCATCCTGAACTCTGCTGCATCCTATAACGTGAAGACTGCCTACAAGAAGTAAGAAAACCTTTGACGAGATGATGTAACCTATGGGGGGGTGAGATGGGAGACATCACAGCCTCATTATTCTTTCCATCAGGTACTTGTACGGATTTGAGGAGTACTGCCGCTCAGCCTCCATCACCTTCAGGACCATCCATCACAACAACCCCCGCCCTCCTCCCAACACACCTCCGAACCAAAAGGTGATGGGAGTAGAACCCAAAGAGAGCAGTGCCAGCACCCCTCAGCTGAAGTTGGAGCCTGTTGACAACTACAGGGAACCAGAGGGAGAATTGGACAGTGGCAGTGAGAAAGAGGAGGTGAAGGAGCATCATTTGTCACCAAGGGTGAGACTTGAATCCAGCAGTTTATAGTTATATCAGAATAAAGAGGGTTTTTTTTGTTTTGGTTTTTTTTTTTTTGGTGTTTTTTCGGACAGATTTTTAAACTTTTGTCTTACTCTTTTTCCCTGGAAAGAATTTGACATTAAATTCATTGGCATCAGTTTGGTTACTGCTAGGGATGTAACAATGTATTGTGAATGCTTTGTTAAGAATCAATACAAATGCATGACAATTCGCATCTGTTAATATAAAAAAACAAATGGCGCATCACCATGAAAGGAGTAGGCTGCTATCTCAAAGTCCCTGGTCACTCCATCAGACTAAACACTATGGTACAGTAGGGGGCGGTATGCGCCTAAAAACGTTGGTTAGGACCCTATTAAACCAAGACTTCAGGCCCCTTTCAGCCTGAGTAACAGTGTTTTTGTAAAGAAAAAGACTCTTTCCAGTTTAATATATTGACAGTTAGCATGGTTTAATTGTAGAAGTGATTTACTGCAGCTTTGTCGTTAGAATAAAGACTTTATTCTCAGCGTACTTCAAGTTGAACTGAGGCTGAACATCTTCTTGCCTCTTCTGTGTGTGTCTGTGTTCATATGTGTTATAGGGGAGGAGGAGGTGTGTGGTCGGTCAGGGGAAGATGGAGCGAGATTCATTCCCTAGATCAGAGAAAAGAGGAACAGCAACAATAGGAGAGAACAGTGAAGAACAGAAGGACGGAAGAAGACGCAGCCACAGAAAAATGGAGGACTCTGAGAAAGGCTCAGAGGACGAGGAGGATGATGATGATGATGAGGAAGAGGATGATGAAGGTGATAGGAGAAGAGGGGACAGGTGAGATGAAAATGCTCTGTGAAACAACAAGGATAAAAAAAAAAACGGAAAAAAACATTAACAGAACGTGTGTTTTTGTGTCAGAAGTGAGGAAGAGGGAGACGGAGACTCTGTGACTGGAACAAAGGTCAGGGTGAAGTACGGTAGAGGAAAAACTCAGAAGATCTACGAGGCCCACATCAAGAAGACGGACATGGACAATGGAGAACAGTTTTATTTGGTCCATTACTATGGCTGGAATGTCAGGTGTGTTTGATTTAAAAATACAACCAATTTCACTGTGCTTTAAAGATACAGGTCTAAATCAAACATGTTTCATACTGACTTTGAACTTTAATCCTGATGTCTCTCAGGTATGATGAGTGGGTGAAGGCTGACAGGATCATCTGGCCTGTGGAGAAAGGGACAAAGAAAAGACAAAGGAAGAAAGTGAAGGTGATGATCATGTGACCTGCTGACGATGCTAACTTACTGATAAATGTAGTGAAAACTTCAGCTGCTGCTCCACACTGAAGCAGAACCTGTCTCTCCTGCAGAACAAAGAGGAATCAGAGAAGGAGGAGGAGAAGCTTGTGGTGAAACCAACAGGGGCAAAACGAGGTCGTCCTCCGCTCAAAACCACACCCACCGGCCCTGCGGGTCGCAGCGTGTCCAAGACGCCAAGCAGCGAGGGTCGGTCCAATGGCAAAAGTGGGAGGACAGAGACGACGCCCAGCATGTCCAATGGAGATAGTAAGACACCGTGAAGCTTTACCTCAGCCCACATTTCTGTTAAGAACAAACCCATAAACAATGAGAAGCTAACATCTGGGTCATGTTTTCTGTCTGCAGACACTCCACGCAGGAGAACCAGGAGAACATCAGGAATGTACGACTCGGACAGAGCATCCAACGGTGAGGAGATCATTACTAATGTTTTCACCAATCCAAAATGAATTATAACCTTTTTATCAAAGATAATCTCAACTAATGAAAACTTCTGTTCCCCACAGAGGAGTCTGGGAACTCTGGCGATGACAGCGAATCTGAAGACCCGCCCGATAGAAATCTGTCACCATGGCGGGTGAGGACTGATGCCTTGCCTTGTCAGGAGGAGATGCAAATGCAGCAGCCACTGCAGCAGCATGATGAAATAAAGGAAGAAGTGAAGAAAGAGCAGGAGGTGGAAGAAGAAGAGGATGAGGAGGAGGAGGAGACGACGACAAGTGGTGTCATCCAACCTGCTGCTGCAGAAGACGCAACATTAGCACAGACGTCGGTAGCACCTGAAGTTCCCATCATCCCACAGGTGAATGAAGAGCAGGTGCTGGGCCAGTCTCAGAATCTGGAGGCAGAGCAAAAGGAGGAGCCTCCAGCAGAAGTTCCTATGGTGGCACCACCTCCACCTGTGGAGAAAGAGATCATCACTGCTTCTCCTGTACAAGAAGTGGTAGTAAAGTTGTCTCCTCCAGCTGAGAAAGTGGTTCCTGTGACACCTCCTCTACCCATCACGGAGGAGGACAAGGGCACTCCTCTGTCCTCCTCAAGGACCGCCAGAGGACGTAGAGTCGGGTCGGGACTCAGAGAGATGGGGTCGGAAACTCCTCCCAGACTCCAACTCTGTACATCTAGCCCCTCCCACCCTGGTGGCAGCCCCTCCCATCCCACCACGCTGTCATCGCCTCCTCGCAGTGTACTGAAAAGACAAGATGAGCCGATGGTCGTCCTCCGCTGCCTCCCCACAGAACACCTGCCTCTGGAGACTCCCACTGCCTACTCAGACACTGACTCTGCCTCTGAAGAGGGAGAAGTATCTGAGGAGAGGAGCAACATGGCACTGAAACGGAAATCAGTGGAGCAGCAGCGATCAGGGGATAAGAGGTTCCGTCCTGAAAGAAGGCAAGAGGAGGCAGCTTCCCTCAAAACTCCCTCCCCACAGTCCAAGATGGCATCAAGCACTTCACCTAAAAGCCTCCCCTCACCGCTCCGCCCTGAGAGGAAGAGTGAAGCCAACACCAAAACAGAGTGGCCTTGTCTTCGAGAGGAGAAACCGAGTGAGGAGACAGAGGAGCATCTGACCGGAGCGGTTGTGAAGGAGCACCAGGTGCATGCTGAGATGCCTTCACTGGCCGCAGAGGCTCCAGACTCTGCTTCTGCTGAGGAGCTGGAGCCACAGATCGGGCCTGAGTCACTCGTCTGCCACGAAGTCGACCTGGACGACCCCGACGAGAAGGAGAAACCTGCCCCATCCGCAGAGCATCTCCTCCTCATGATGAGGGAACAGGCCCACGGTCCTCTCCCACTGCCTCACCTTCTCCAAACATCTGCCCCTGCTCCTCAAACCCCTCATCTCCCACAACCTCATGTCCGACTGTTAGTCCCAGCCGCCGCTCCATGCTCCACCCCCTGCAACGACGAACTGCACATAGTTCGAAGCACCACCACTGCTGCTGTTGAGGAGGAGGAGGAGGAGCAGCAGCACAGAGCAGGAGCAGAGCAGGAGGGTGATTCCAGCCCAGGCTTTGATGGCAGTGGCTCCTCCTCCTCCATGTCATCGTCGAACAAAGACAGAGGTGAGAAGTTTTTTTTTTTTTTTTTTAAAAAGCCTCCTTATTCCCCTCACCTGGTCACAAACATCTTTGGAGGACCAAGTCTGCACCTCCTCCCTCAGTAACACCTCCACTGTTAGTGTCCATCATTTTAAATCTCCTTTTTACTTTCTCCTTCAGCTCAGAAAAGAGTGATGGATTGCAGCTTGAGTCCGACCACGAAGAAACACAAACGCAGTCAGAAGAGGCCGACCACGCCAGGGAAGGTGGAGAAGAATGGAGCAGGTGAGACCGTTGGGGTCACGTTAAGGTCACTGATTTCATTCTGTGGCGGCTGAGCATAACATAACACAGTGTTTGTGGTTGCACCTACTGCAGGTCACAGCAGCGACAGCGAGGACCAATCACGTCTGTCGTCTTTGACAAAGTCCCAGAAGCCTCGCTGTCCCACCCTGGTGTCTCCGTCTCACACTAAAGACAAACACAGCTTCCCTTCACCACAGCGCACGTACAAGTGGACCTTCCAGCTCGGTACGTGCAAACACACACTGGACAGACACAGATCAGAAGAAGAACATAAACAACAGCACAGCTCCATTTTCATTGTATTGTTTTTTTTTCTGCTAGATATCTTCTCCCTCCATTTTTCTCCTTTCCTTTTACCATTATCAATGTGTTTGTCCTCTGCTCCTCAGACGAGCTGGAGAACATGTCGAGCACGGAGCGGATCTCTTTTCTTCAAGACAAACTTCAGGAGATAAGGAAATATTACCTGACGCTGAAATCAGAGGTGGCGTCCATCGACCGCCGCAGGAAAAGACTAAAGAAGAAGGAGAGGGAAGGTGAGTGCTGGGAAGGAGCAGTGCATTCAGGGAGATTTAGACTCTCTTCTTTGTCATTGATTTTCCATTTAATTATTCATTTATTTTTGTCTCTGCAGTGTCAAACACGACGGCGTCCACATCCTCAGCCTCTTCCGACACTGGCATGAGCCCATCCTCTGCCTCGCCCACTCAGAACACAGTTGCTGTGGAGTGTAGGTGATGACACGCCCACCACAGCCCCACCCACTCGCTCCACCTGCCTAATCCCTTAATGTACAGACTGCTCCCACAGCTGAGGGCATTATGGGAAAGGAAAAAAGAAAAAACATACAGGTGAGAGTGGGACTGACATGAACACGTTGCTGTGGGACATGCCCACTCGGTCGGTTTGGACCCCGCCCTCCACATTGTGAGAAGCAGCCTTCACCATGGAGCACTCCTGTCCTCCTTAACTTCTTCACTTCCTCCTCAGTCCCTCTTTCTTTGTGGTGGACTGGTCAAATTGCAGGAGCTGATGGTTATGCAATGTTTTGTTCTTCATTGACACAGATGAAATTATTTATTACAAAAACAACCTTCAAATTTCCTGCTGCAAGCATTTTGTACAAATGAGAGCTTTTATTTTAGTAAAAACAGCCAGAGAAAAAAAAAAACTAAAAAAAAAAGTTTGGGACGTTGCAGAAGGAAAACATTTTTCATAACCAAACTCAGCACCTGATTGGTTCTGTGGTGTACAGAAGATCAACATTAACAACTCAACACATTTTTTATGCCCCCACCCCCTAGTGAATTGAAATTATGAAATCTCATCGTTGTGACATAAATTGAAACTCAGGAAATCTGATTTTTTTTTGTTTTCTTTTGTAAAAAAAAAAAATTATATATTTTTTAAATATGGTTGAACATGTTTTAAATGCATTTATTTTGGTTGAGAAGTTTGACCTTAAATCTGGGCAAAGTAGAAATTAGTCTGATTGAGAAAATCTGATTTAACGTACTGATGGTACATTTGGTTAAGTCTGACTCCAGTATTTTCCCCCATCACCATTGAAGTCTTAGATAGGAAAAATTGGTTTAACTTTGTTCTAAATGATATCTTTTATAAAGACTTTAACAGAACTGGGCAGATCTTTTATTTTCAATTTTATTTAAAAAAAAAAACATTTGTGTCATAATTCTTGTCAAGTTCATAATTTTCAATTTACTGTTTTGTTTTTTCTTTTCCAAAGTCAGTTGTGACAGTTTTGCCTTAAGAAAGAAATGTTTGTTTGGACTTAATTCCTATTCATTTAAAATGAATAAAATTTACAAAATTACATTTACTACATAACTTAATTTTATTTTTAATTTTCAATTAAAATGTTTTGTTTTAAACTTCTGAGCGTCATCCCGCTGCTCATTTTGTCGTTCCGTGGTGTCGGCGGCTCACTGCAGTGATGTCAGTGTCTGATTCCAGCTCCTGGTCCCACCTCAGTTGCTCTTTTGTACATAAAAACTCCAGAATCAAAAATAAAAGCCCTCCATGTATTTGAGACATTTTTTCACACCTGTAAAGAATGATTTCTAATATTTTTTAAAAGAAAACAGTTTGTACTGTTGTATCTTTTTTTTCTATGTGGCGTTTTGCTAATGGGGGTTTGAGAGCAGTGATTGTAAATACACATACACACACTTCTGAGAACAGCAGCCATGTTGGATCTGTGTGCACAATAAGCAGAGCTCTCTGTTTCTAATAAAGTTTTTAAATATGACATTTACCACATGCTTCTTATTCTTTCATTTTCTCTGCCTGTCTCTTCACCATCATCTTCATCATCGTGGGTCAACAGAACACCTTCACGCTGAAGGTTACAGTGTATTTACAAATGATACAAAATGCTTGGACCAAATAAAAATAACTTTATTAAAAGAAACAAGGTAAGATGAAAAGTCAGTGTTATTGCTGGAGGCTCCTGCCCTTTTCCTGCCAACCAAGAACCTGATTGGACAGAGTCTGGACCTCTGCTGCTTGAGCCAACAGCTGGGCAAGCGAGGTGTACTGATATATAGAAGGAGAGAGCGAGTCAGTAGGAGTTTGGATATGATGGTAGTAATTTAATCGTGTCCTGACTGACCATTTGACTCAGCTGTTCTCTGGCTCTGCTGCAGTTCTGGACACTGTCCAGTTTCTTCTCCAGAGTCTCAATGAAGTCCAGCAGCATGTCCAAGACCTCAACCACAGACCTGAAATACAACAGGGTCACACAACTCCAATAACACAGACATTATAGGATGTTTTTCGATGAAAGTGACATGTATCTACATGTGTTTTGATGGCGTGAACTAATTTTTTTAGGGTTTTAGCAAAACTTGAGATGTGAAGCAAGAACAAACTGAGCTCTGTACGGTTGTTGTTACCTGTGCAGGTGAGCGTGTATGGGTAGGTTGGTTTGTCCCAGTGGTTTCATCAGCCTCTGTCTCAGACTGTTCTGCTCCTTCAGTAACTGCTGTAGATGATCACAGAACGTCTGCAAAACCTGGAAGCGTCCACCTGAGGAAAGGGGACAGACATTAAGTCCTGAACACAGGATCTTATCCGACTGTGTCTAAAAGAAGAACAGGATTGCTTACTGAGGGGTAGTACGTGTGTTACATCTGCACTCTGCTTCTCCAGCTTCAGCAGCTCCAGCTCTAACTGCAGCTACAGTGTAACAGCACACAGTGTCAATGTTGGTCTAAGAACACACACCTGCACAGGTCACGTGGCAGTGACGTCATACTACCTGATCCAGACGCCTCTGTGCTTTGAGCTGTGCTTCAGCTTCCTGCAGCACAGAGGAGAAGGCGGGACCTGGTCTGGACGAGACAGCGTCTATGTCCTCCTAAGGACGAGATTATTTCACATAATAAAAACCTTGACAGCCTTCATGGCGTTTTCAGAACACACGACCCTCACCTGGGACATGGCTCCTCTGGAGACACATCTCGACAAAACGCTGGCAGCTGGAGACACGAAGAATGGAGACACTTCCCACTGATTCATCTGAGACACAAGCGGCTAAAATGTTATTTTAAAAATAGTTCACGTGAAATCTTCTAAACAATCAATAAAAATATGTTTAATACTGAGCTAATTGGGAAGTGCTTCACACTAGATGAGCATCACAGTCACGGAAAATAAACAGAAACGTGCATTTTCCTCACCACTAACCTTTCTTCAGTGTGTACGCCTGTGACACAGATTTGAATCCCCTACGCGAATCGTGACGTTATTTCCGTTGCCCAAGTTGACTTTTATAGTGACGCCATAGACTCGCGAACCTGTCCGTTGTTTATTTACGGTAAAACTCCTTTAAAAGAGTAAAGAAAATAAAGTATGTAGCCGAAGTGGAAACCAAACAAGCCCGCGCTATACTCGCTTTTCGTCTACTGTTGAAATCACCCGCTCTTAATCTTTACACCGCCGCTTCAGGACACCAGTGGAACTACACACTATTATTTCTATACTGTGTCCACAAGATGGCGCCAATACGGCTGCAGCTAGTTGGAGTAAACAAGACGAAGAAGAATGAACCCGAAGCATTTCAGGGCGTCTCCAGTGTAGAGCTGCAGTTTTTTAGATTTTAGAAATAACTGTTGGGTGTATTTGCAACCGAAAAGGATTATTCACAAAACAACGTAGTTAATGGACCAATTTATTTACTTCCTATTCTGATGTACCGCTACTTGAACCGACTGTTGTGTCTCTTGTTTTGATAGCAACCGGGAGTTTACGCCAAAGCTAATGTGTATCCACTGTGATTTTTAGTTGTTTTTTTCGTTTGTCTCTCCTACCAAGAGTAAAATTTTAACTCGTTAGCTGTTAGCGCATTTAGAGCGTCGGTTAATCCATACGATGATCCCAGGATTTACCGTCTGGCAATGAACACGCTGTGACGTCAGTATCTGGATCTCCGTGGGTGTTCGTGGAGAACTCTCGTCAGGTGGACATTGATTTCAAATTAACTTCTACCACACACAGAAGACGAAGAAGAAAAGGAAATACACAGGGTTGAGGATCATGGGGAACAGCGCCCTCAAGTCACACCTGGAAACTTCCCAGAAAACTGGAGTGTTTCAGCTGACCGGAAAAGGCCTGCAAGAGGTGAACCGTGTTTACACAAACATGTCATCACATTTGTTGTTTTTTAAGTGTTAGTAAATTAATAAATTTTTCCATTTATTAAAAAATAGTCTGAGTTAGCTGCAATGTCAGGCATTGAACAATACATGCTGATATACATATATATGTATATCCATCCATCCATTTTCATCTGCTTATCCGTTACCGGGTCACCGTTACCCCCCCAAGCCTTCCTGCGGGTGGTGAGTCCACTGGAAGGTATCAACCGCCCTAACCACGATTCGAACTTGCCCAGGAGGTGAACCCTGGGGTTTCACACCAATGACAGAGACGTTGCCTCTGGGCCAAAGCGCCACCTATATGTATATAGTATATATGTATATGTATATATATATATATATATATATGTGTGTGTTGATACGAGGATACATATATATATATATATATACATTTATATATATATATATATATATATATATATACTGTATATTTAACATATTTATTGGGCAGTGGTGGTAAAGGAAGCAGACTTGGGTCAGGTTCGAGTCCACCAGCTGCCAAGTTACCACTGAGGTCCTCTGAGCATGGCACCGTCCCCACTCACTGCTCCCTGGTTCTTAAAGCTGCCCACTGTTCACTTTGGTGATGGGTTAAAAGCAGAGGTCACATTTGGTTGTGTTTTCACCCATTTTTAGTCTTACCTTCTGTGCCTTTAGTTTCCAGAGGAGCTGCAGAAGCTAACCAGTAACCTGAGGACGGTGGATCTGTCTGACAACAAGATCCCAGTTCTTCCTGCTGCTATTGGGAACTTCCTGCAGCTTAAGAGTTTGACGCTGAATTCCAACAAACTGAGTGAGTCCACATGCTCTGCACTGATTTTCTGAAAAAAGGTCACTTTTACAGTTGTAACAGCAGTTAAGTTCCAGACACACACACAAAAGAGTTTTTGGTCTTTAACTCGTTGTGGATGAACAGAAATAACAAGTCTTACATTTAAATATAAAATATATATATACTGTATGCTTATGTTATACTTTATTGTGTACTGAGTGCCTCCATCCTTGCTGTCCTCAGGCATATTGCCCGCTGAGATTGGAAAGCTAAAGAAGTTGGAAAGCCTGAGTCTGAATGGAAACCAGATCACCCAGCTTCCCTCAACCATGGGTCAGCTTAAAGCCCTTAGGACTCTCAACCTAGCTGGAAACCAGATCTCAGAGTTTCCCTCTGGGCTGTCAACACTTCGACAACTGGACCTGATAGATCTGTCCAGGAACCAGATCCACAGTATCCCTGCACATGTGTCTGAGCTGCAGGTCATTGAGATCAACCTCAACCAGAACCAGGTACTAGAAGTTTAGATTTAGACTGTTGAACGTTCCTAGGTCATACGAGAGCTTTATGATTTGATCAAAAGGACAAAATCTTGACAAGATGAAGTGTAGTGCGTTGTTGGATTTTCCCTTCTTCCCAGCACAGAGGCCTAGGTGCAAATCCATAAGCTGGACTGGAAGATTATGCATTCAGGTCTTCGTATTGTGTCTCCCCAGATCTCTGTGATTTCAGCAGATGTGTCCAAGTGTCCTCGTCTGAAGGTACTTCGTCTGGAGGAAAATTGTCTGGAGCTTTCGTCCATCCCAGTGTCCATCCTAGCTGATTCTCAGGTGTCCCTGTTCTCTGTGGAAGGAAACTTGTTTGAAGTCAAGAATCTTAGAGACCTGCAGGGATATGACAAGGTGAGCACACACTCTCTCTATCAGACTTTCTGTTTTGGAATCTAATTTTTGTTTGGTCTCTTGTTTCTAATGATCTGTTTTTGTCTCTGTTCTGTTTACTCTTTAGTACATGGAGAGATTTACAGCCACAAAGAAGAAGTTTTCCTGAAAACTCTAACAAACCCATGAGCAGCTACAGAAGTCCTCCTAGAGAACTGTCCTTCAGCCTTTTAAACTCAGCTCTAATGCTGGTTTTGCCCTCATTAATTTCCTACATCTGAAAGATCTGTGAAGGTTTTGACCTACCACAGGTAACAGCAGGAGCAGATAACAAGAGAAGACAACGATGGGGAAGATTGAAGGTTTCATAATGAACTTTCTGTGATGTCACTGGTTATGTAAACCACAGAGTCATATATTTATAAAGTTTGTCCACCAGAACTTATATTTAATTCACCAAAACATCCTTGACTATAAAAATGAATGATGCTTATGGCTGTTGTCCTTTACACAAACAAAACTAGCTTTTGTTTTACGGTGCATGGCATGTTGGACTATGGATCTGGGAGAAGACTCACTGTCAGAATCCAAGCAGGAGTTTTAACTCAACCAATATAACTACTTGAAATGATATAACTTGAAGCGCAGATAATTTGGTTATTGTTGCTAATTATAGCAATAGTTCTACTACTACAAAACTAAAGTTGTATAACTAACATTATCCCTGTTTCAGTAGCATCAGCAGTGCTACTATAGCAACATGGGTCGATGCAACTTACTAATGCGTTAGTGTGATGTTTGCGCTAACTAACCATAAATTCAGATTAGTGTCCTAGAACATTGAGCCACTGTGTGTTGATACGAGGATCAAACACTGTTTTTTCTTTGAATGGTTTCAAGGTTTTACTAAAGTCTTCATTAGCTTAAGAGCTTGGCTTTGCATCCACAAAGCACTACTTTTGTTGTTAAATAAAAAAATATTGTGTTTGTGTTTGAAATTGACTCATATTCATTGTCAGAATGATACCACAGTGGAAGTGACTTTACCATGGGTAACGTGTAAACATGTCAGAGTGCCACTTCCTGACAATGAATACACTTCCTTCCTGTCACTGTGACCTGCGGTTTTCTCAGATTTCCTGAGTCATCAGTCCAACCATGTGATTTCCACACACTTGTGGTGACATCACATATATACGTCACGAGGAGCACTGACGTTTGGTCAGCAGGTGGCAGTCATTTAAATTGTACTTACATTGAAAACAGTCTTATCTCCACTACTCACAACTGGTCTGGTGGTAGTCCAGAGTTTCAATTTGGATATCTGTCTCATTTAAATTGGACCCATTAAAGTCGCCTAATGGAGCGGAATAAGACCTGGTGTTTACAAAGGAAAGGGTCTTTAATTGAAAAAAAAAACACCCCAACAACACACTGCATTCCAGAGGGAGGGACCGCACTGTTAAGTTAAACAGAGTAAAGATGTCACTTCCGGTCTCATGGTGCATACTATCTAGCGTAAAACATAGTGAACTCAGGTGAAACGATAAAAACACAAATGAAAATGAAAATTATTTGCACAGATAATTGGGGGTGGATTCCAGATTTGTTTAATAAGTAATAATTTAGTGATGTGTGGGTTAGGGTTTGTGGTTTTTAAAGAAAGTCCACTCGTTTCAGAACAGTTCACTTTTGGCAAGATGTTTATTGCAATAATTAAATGGGAAATTAGTTAATATGAAAAATTTAAATTTGTCTCAAAAGAATGTCATACTTTTAGTACGATGTTTAAATGGTTAACAATACAACAAATCTACAAACAAGTAATTTATTCTAAAAAAAAAATGTTAGATGTTATTTTGATTGTTTTATTTTGAAGAAACGCTTCCGGTGGCCGAATGTAAAATTTTCGCCAAAGGCGGAGTAACACCGAACTGGCCGAACTTTCTGCCGCCGCACGGGTTGCTGTGCTTCTTCTTAGCTGTTGTTCGGTTTGTTTTCGTTGTGTCGTTTGAAGATATCCTCGTTTTTTTACGACAGACGCGGCTCCGCGCTCTCCGAGTCTCCGTCGGTCAAACTTTGTTGGTCCATCCGAACATGAGGCTGCCGTGTCGGGCAGAGATTGGAGCTCCTGCAGCTTACGACTGAAGATGAAGTGGACCGTGGGAATCGTGTTGTTTGTGCTGCGGAGTGTGGAGGTGTTCTGCGGCTTCGGTGAGTTTACTGAGTCACAGCAAACCAAACCTCAGCTGTTTTGTCACTGATTTAACAGTTATGCACTTGCTGCAGCTCCTACTAACAACCGTGAAATCATAAGATCATTTTACTTTTATAAAAGAGATTTTTTTTTGCCGAACCGACCATTCGATCGCGTCCTGAATGACAAGTATTGCTCCTAGTGACGACACCAGAGTATGTTAATATTTGCATTCTACCATTCCTTTTACCGGTGCCCAAGGCTCTTAAGTTAAATGAACAACCATGAATAAGTGTAATGGCAGACACTGTCGCCTTTATTATTCGTCCCCCGTCCATCGATACGTTTGACATCAATATTTGTGAGTCCTAGAACATTCACATCAGTCATTATCTATTTATCTCATTATTATTCATTTGTCAAATATTCATCCTGAATCCTCATCTAACCTTTATTCAGCGTTACCTGTCAGCATCAACATGTATTTAAAATCTGTCCATATTGTCAACTGCAGAGACATCATCCACCACTCAGCTATCATCATCCACCCTGCCAGTATACATCCATAGGTTTTAATAAAAAAAATCCAGATGACACAATGATCTCTTTGTGATTGGATTAGGTTTGTTAGTTTGTAAACTGTGATCAGTGTCATCAGTGACATCACTAATCACGGCCTCCTCCAGTCTCAGATGCGGCGTTTACCAAGCAGCCGTCCAATCAAACGCTGTCTCAGGGGAAGTCAGCTCGGCTCAGCTGTGCAGTTCAGGGTCTAACTGAACCGGACATCGTGTGGATGAAGGATGGAGCCAAGCTTATCAGCACAGACCAGATGTTCATTTCACATGGGGAGGACCACTGGGAGACATTTCACAGGTCAGGGCTTATAATTAGACCTCCTACAGGTGACAGGTGTGAGTGACAGGTGGGACGTAAACCTTACAAAGGTACAGGAGAATATAGGGCTTATTTTGGCTGATAAAAGGGATCTGAATAGACTGTCACCTTTTCTAGTTTTCTACCATCAACATCACATAAACAGTAAATATGGGCAGAACAGTCTCCTCCTGCTATCACCTCACATATCAGGGGATTTTTAAAAGGTAAAAGTTTATCTCCAGGTTAATACCAAACTGTGTTTAGGTGCCGCCTACTTTAGTCCTCTTCAAGGTTAAGTCATTTTAAGTTTATTTTAGTCCCATAGATCTAGGTCCTAGATCCGGATTTGATTCAAAGTTTTCTAACAAATTTTAGGGTTGAGTTTGTGTTCTACGTCTGTGGACTGGGATTCAGAACACAGAAGTTTGAGTCTGTTTCCACATTCTGGTTTTCATCCTCAGTGTGAAGTCGGTCCAACAGCAGGACGCTGGTCAGTACTGGTGTGAGGTGGAATTTGAGGGGTTGACGTTGTCGTCGGAACGAGCCTGGATCACGGTGGAAGGTGTCCCTCACTTTCTCCTGGAGCCGCAGGACGTGGCCACGTTTCCAAACAAGCCCTTTGAATTGATGTGTGCCGCAGTTGGACCACCAGAACCTGTTGAGGTGCTGTGGTGGGTGGGTGGACTCCAGGAGGGAGAGTCCCGCCCATCTCCCTCTGTTCTCCACATTGAAGGTCAGACAGTGTCCTGAGATCATGTGTATGTTGGTGGTTACAAATCAAGTATCATTCCTCAAACTGCAGCTACAGCTGGTTATAGTATCACTGACCATGTGACCGTTTATATATTGATGATCATGATTGTCCTCTGAGTCAGAACTGAATCACACATCTTACACACGCACACACTGCAGTATTGATCATTGGAGCAAGATGACATGAGCTGAGCAGCTGATTGGATGATGCACTCCTTCATGAAAATACACAGGTTAATGGTCAACATATTGGAGTTAAGGTCACCATAAAGACTGAAATATACACCTTTACTGATAGGTCCGCTGTAAATGCTCCTAGTAGGAGGAAAGTTAGAGCTAATCAGTCATTAGTTTGTCTTAAACAGTCTACACAGAGGGTGTTGCAGTCACTCAACTTCTTTTTTTCTTGCTTCTACCTTCAGGAGTGAACAGCAGTGTTAAGTTTTACTGTGAAGCCAGGAATGACAGAGGGATCTCTGTGTCCAGAACTGGAACGGTTTACATTAAAGGTGAGCCATCACCAGTCTCTAGAACAGAGTCTGGCACCAGAACAGATTCCTACATTACATCACAGTGACTTGAACATCACACCCCTCAAAAATGCTCATCTCTGACTGAACTTGTACTTCTTTTGGGATTGACGTGGTTTAGTGCTGCCAGCGGCCCCTGTGGAATTGCAGGTTCTGAAGATAGTGGACAATAATGTCACGCTGTCGTGGAAACCAGGATTCATTGGTCATTCAGAGCTATCGTTCTGTACTGCCCAGGTAGCAAAGTCCATCACACACAAACTCCAAACTGCAAAACACACACCCACACTCACAGTGGAATAACCAGTTTGCTCCTCCTCCTCCTCCTCTTCCTCAGGTGATGATGTTGAAATGGAGCTCCACCCCAATACGTGTTCCTGTTCAGAAGGTCATGGTTCCTCCTCACCAGCTCCTCCTTTCAGGTTTAAGGAGTCACTGCAATTACAGTGTCCGAGTGTCGTGTGTGAACGAGGTTGGGGCGTCTCCCTTCAGCCCCTGGCTCCAGTTTGTAACACCTGAGTCAGGTGAGGGCGCTCGTGGGAATCAGCTGATTGAACTGCTCATTGTTGGAGCAGTGACAATGTTTCATGTGCTGCGGGGGTCAGTGTTGGTCAGACTAGGTCTGTTGAATGTGTCAAAAATTTAAAAAGTGACAATGATGACGTAAGCCACAACCGAGATGCAACTACCTGTCATTTTGCAGAGAGCGTTACTTTAGCAAACTCCATCTTTGGTCTCACAGTTCCCTTAGCCGCCCCCAGGAACCTGACGTTTGACCTGTCAGAGCAGCAGCTGTGTCTGAACTGGGAACAGCTTCAAAAGGAGGAGCTTCAGGGGGAACTGCTAGCGTACAAGCTGCAGTGGATTTTGGGAGGTGAAGCTCAGGTGACTGTCATCCCCTGATGGTTATATCTGAATCACAAAACAGATTTGTCTCAATAGTCTTTACAGTAATAAAATTAAAATATCTTTGTATTTCAGGAGCCTCTGCTCTTCAAGCACAACCGGGCGCAGCTGTCTGGAGCTGGACGTTTTTTTAACGCCTCTTTTCAGGTGTCGGGCTGCACCTCCGTGGGTTGTGGCCCCTGGAGTTCCCCTGTTCTGGTGCTGCCTGCCTCAGGTACCAGTATGATGTTGACAAACATGTCACTGTTGTGCCACCTTGGATGTAGAGTGTCATTCACTGGCTTATTGATTGCCTGCTGGTCCTTTAGTCCAGGTTCAGGTCCAGAGGAGCCACATGTGGGTTGGCGTTCTCCTCGGTCTGCTTGTGGCCACCATTATTGCTTTGCTACTCAATATTGCTGCTAGACGGCGTGGAAAAGAAATGCAGTTTGGGTGAGAACATAGAAGAGGTCAATAATGTCTAATGTGGTTTTATTGTGTTCACACTGCATCTTATTCACACTGCATCTTATTTTTTTTATTATCAGCTGGTTCTTCCAGTCTCCAGGTCCAGACCCGTCTGTCTCCTTCACTGCAGCTCGTTCATTTACCAGAGCTCAGACAGAGACACAGGAGTTCACACGTGAGTCTGTGTTTACTCAACACTGACCGCTATCCTGTCACTGTTTTCTACCATGGGACCACAAAGCATGAACACTGCAGCTTACATGTGTGTCTCCCCCTAGTTGACAGCCTTGGTATTAACAATGACCTAAAGAACAAACTGCAGGATGTCCTGATCCCAGAGAAAATGATCACACTGGGACACATGCTTGGAAAGGGTAATGACAAAAAAAAACAAACAAATAGATTATGCCTAGAATAATTCCACATTGGGTTTATATTTATTCAAAAATATGTTGGATTATATCCCAAACTTTTCTGTATTATTTAAAAATGTGTACATATGAGTGTGTATGTGGACATGTGTGTGAACACGTTCCTTTGTGTTTGATCTGTTCCCATGTGCAGGTGAGTTTGGTTCAGTGCGAGAAGCCATCCTGAAAACCGACGACACTGACATCCAGAAAGTGGCCGTAAAAGTCCTGAAATGTACGTGAAAGTAGATATTTTGTGCATGGGTGAAAATGGAGGATGTGTTTTTTACTTTTGCATGTATGTGTGTTTTATCCCGCAGCTGATGTCACCTCATCTGCTGACATTGAGCAGTGTCTAAAGGAAGCAGCTTACATGAAGGACTTCAACCATCCTAATGTCATTCAGCTGATTGGTAAGACATGTTAAAAAACACTCACACCTCACTAACAGCTTGAAGTTTAAAAGAGGAACACAGGAATCTGGATGTTTGTCAACACTAACTCTGTGTTTTGAGAGCAGAAGGTTAGAGAAAAGATTAAGAAGGAAATTATGGCTCACTGTTTCTGTCCATCAAAGTGAATTTGGAAACAGCTTTGGAAAATGGATGTTGTCTTTAAAATCTTGTGTTCAACAGGAGTGAGTCTTCACCAGCGTCCTGGTCAGCGGCTGCCAATCCCAATGGTTGTTCTTC